AGCCGCACGTCCATGTCCATCTCTGACACCGCGGAGTCCTGCACCGCCTTTTCAGTAAGCCCTATGGGGGTTTACGAAAATCGGGGACCCCTAACATAAGACCCCCCAAACAATAGGATTCCCTTGAAACAGGACACCACCCAGGTACCCCCAATTTCAAAGCCCCCATATGTGCATATGTGGCTGGACGAATTAAACTTCCAATCGGACCTTTGCTCTTCTAATTCGCACCATGGTGTGCAACTGGCTATGACAAAACAAAGCTCAAGAGTGGGCTAAGCGCAATAGAGATCGGAACCCATGGCAAGGCAGTTGCAGGATGTTGCAGGTATACCAGGTGGCGGCAGCGGCTATCTGACCTATCTGAGTGATTGCAAGGGTCTACTTGATGCGACACCTGAGTTGCCAGAAGTGAGACATGGCGGAACTCCGATTTCGGGAGGCAACCTGGGTTGAGGGTAGGTAGGGGTTGGGTTTCGGGTTTAGGGTTAGGGTTTAGGGTTTAGGGTTTCGGGTTTCGGGTTTCGGGTTTAGGGTTTAGGGTTTAGGGTAGGTAGGGGTTGGTACTGGGGGCAACACACCTCGCCGAGGCAGAACAACAAACCCACGAACTCAAACCTTGGCATCCGTAGAACAGCAACGTTGCAAAACCTGCTTCCCTGAGCCCTAAAACCCTAAAACCCTAAAACCCTAAAACCCTAAAACCCTGAAACCCTAAAACCCTAAAACCCTAAAACCCTAAAACCCTAAACCCTAAAACCCTAAACCCTAAAGCCCAAACCCCAACCCCAAACCCCAAACCAAGCCGGCCTCAAGCACCGGAGCCACAGGAACCGCCGTTGGCCTTGGAAAAAGTAGCGTTTCAGGCTGAGGGCCCTTGAGACTCAAAAACCCCCTTAACCAAGGATTCAGGGTTTAGGGTTTAGGGTTTAGGGTTTAGGGTTTAGGGTTTAGGGTTTAGGGTTTAGGGATTCTCCCTTAACCAAGGATTCTCCCTAAAGCATAGTAGGAACCCTAATATGAATTCAGGGATATTCCTCAAGTAAGGACAGTCCCTTACATGATCAGAGGAACCCGAATATGAGTTAAGGAATATTCCTTAGAGAAAGAGTCTTGGAGTCTCTGGGGGTGCTGGTTTGGCTCGGCATTTTGCTGGCCAACAGAGATTTTTAACACAGAGAGAGAAAGAGAGAAAGAGAGAAAGAGAGAAAGAGAGAAAGAGAGAAAGAGAGAAAGAGAGAAAGAGAGAAAGAGAGAAAGAGAGAAAGAGAGAAAGAGAGAAAGAGAGAAAGAGAGAAAGCGAGAAAGCGAGAAAGAGAGAAAGAGAGAAAGAGAGAAAGAGAGAAAGAGAGAAAGAAAGAAAGAGAGAAAGAGAGAAAGAGAGAAAGAGAGAAAGAGAGAAAGAGAGAAAGAGAGAAAGAGAGAAAGAGAGAAAGAGAGAAAGAGAGAAAGAGAGAAAGAGAGAAAGAGAGAAAGAGAGAAAGAGAGAAAGAGAGAAAGAGAGAAAGAGAGAAAGAGAGAGAGAGAGAGACGCGCAGTTTTCGGGACGGCACACAACGAAGAGCCGTCCTACTTTCTATCTTTCCACTGAGCGCCATTTGCCTCGCATGCAAGCTGGGGCAGGAAATTCCACGAGTATGCAGTGGCTGTGCGGTGTGGGCTTGCATGTGTGTGCTAAGACGTCCGGGTTTGCAAAGGACCAGGGGGTCGTGGAAAAAACAATCAATAGGTGTGACTGTGTAACCACAAGTGTCTTCCAAAAGGGCAACTAGTTGTGACACTGCGCTTCACGCTGTTTGCCCCGGACAAGAAGCCCCTGCATGCGGCATTAGCGGTCAGCAAAACGCAGAAATTTGCTCATATCCTTCCGAAGAAGTTGATTGCTAAAAAGGTTGTAGACGCAGGAACTTTGAGGAGCTATGAGTGCAGGGTCTAGGGGCCTGGGGGTTGTGATTGTCTTTGAAGAGTCCTTCCTGCTTCAAGTGTATATGCCAGAACACGCAGGGCCCGCACGGAAGAGCAGTGTCCGTCACCAGTGTCTCGGCCTTGACAGCCCAGAGCTGAGAAAGTTAGAGAAGACTTTACGGTTTTTCTGCAAGATTCGCGAAAGGGCGACCCCTAAACCCTAAACCCTAAACCCTGAATCCTAAACCCTAAACCCTAAACCCTAAATCCTAAGCCCGAAACCCTAAACCCTAAACCCTAAAGGATCTTGTGAAGAGTGCGCTTCATACTTTGGGCCGTGGAGTGAAGCCCAGCACTGACCCGTGAACCTCTCGGTTGCCATGGCATGTTCCCCCTGATTCTAACAGTCCTTAATCGGGATTATATGATTAGAGTAGTCCCTATTATAATCCCTATTCAGGACTGTTAGTAGAAGGGGGAACATCACAATGTACTACATCCAAGACCCTCTCCCGAGACCATAGAAAGCAAAAAAACCTCAAGCCCTGAACCTAAACCCAAAGATATACACTGCCTCGTAGGCAGGGATGAGCTGGCAATCGGGTTCGGGTTAGGCTAGCTCTGATCCTTAAGGCCCGAGATCAGCAAAGCCGCAAGCCACAGCCCTGAATCGAAGCCCAACTTCCAAAAAACACCTTTGAAGAGTTTGCGAAGCACCCGCAGAGCGGCACACAAGCCACACACTTTTGATAGGCATGATTCTGCGTTGAGCCGGGTGGGTCCTACAATATCTTGATGGATGGCTGGTGCCGCGCATGGGCTTTTGCAAGTCTGACTCTGTGTGCTCTTGAAAGTTGATACCTTCAAGTGGGAGATTGTCCCGGAGGTCTCTTTGAGCGACAGCCCGCCTCATCCCCATCGTCACGCGGAGATGTCGGAGAGGGCACTTCCGTCGGAACCGGCATCTCCTCGGGCGAATCTCGGACACACGACTTCCACGTTCCTGTTCACGGAATGCTTGGCATTCATGATGTAACCTAAGCCTGATGGCTAAACAAGCTTGCTGTCCGTTCACGTCCGAGGTGTTGCAATGTAGCTGGAGCTTTTGGCGTGAGGTTCAGGAGTTGGGTTTTTTCACACGCACGCGCACCCACACACCCACGCATGCGTGCAATGCGTGCACAGCACGGGCCCCTTCATAAGCACCAACCAAACAAAAACCTAAAACCTAAACCCTTGAACCCCCTTACCCGCTTCGGGTGCCCGCGCCGTCGGGGAGGCTTCAGGCACGCTGTCGCTCATCATCCTCAGGGGGGAGTGTCCCTGACGTCCATGAATTCTTGGGACTCAGGGTAATTGAAGGTCTTGGCCCTTGGGGCGGTTCTTCTCCGGTGTTCACGACAGCAGCCTTGAAGGTGTACATCCTCACAACAGGGGAAGCCTAAAAAAACTACAAACCGCGAAGGTGCTGTGGCCCTGGAGAAGTGCCCACCTCCACAAACTCCTTGAGACAATGCTCCACGAAACAGTCCTTAACACCTGCACTGCGTGCACAGCGCTGCTAGTCAACCTTCCATCCCTGGAAGCGTTGCAAGCGCTACAAAGCCCTGTAAATCATCACCAGCCGCCGGCTGAACACGGAATGAGCTAGCGAAACCAAGTATGCAAGCACCGACAGTCTATCAAGCCCCACAAGATCTGCAGAGTTCTACAATCGGTACCAGGATTGGCTATGCTACCCGATAATCCCTCAAAAGGCCCTTTATAGGGTTCATTATGAGGATTTAAGGCCCAATAGCCCATCCTGGTAAATAAAAAGAGAAATCCCTTAAAAGGCCCCTTTATAGGGTTCATTATGGGGATTTTAAGGCCTAATCGCCCATCCTGGTAAACAAAAAGTGCAATCCCTTAAAAGGCCCTTTATGGGGATCATTATGAGGATTTTAAGGCCCAATAGCCCATCCTGGTAAACAAAAAGTGTAATCCCTTAAAAGGCCCTTTATAGGGTTCATTATGAGGATTTTAAGGCCTAATAGCCCATCCTGGTAAACAAAAAGAAGAAAAGAAGTCTCAGAAGGCCAAGAAGCCCCGACAGCGGAAGGGCTTCGACCTGGGGCACTTGGCTTGGAACTTCTCGTGGCCTCGTGATTCCTTTGAAGGGTTTAGGGTTTAGGGTTTAGGGTTTAGGGTTTGGGGTTTAGGGTTTAGGGTTTAGGGTTGTCTTTGTTTGAGTGGCAAGGTGCTGAAACGGCAATTCGCATTCTGGCACGATCATCATCCAAAGGCGTGCCTTCAACTCAGAAAATATCTCGCATTGCACTAAAGTGCGTACCTTTGCAAATCCACGTTTCTTTGCCGCCCTTTGCCTCATTTTACCTCTGCTGGGAGGTTCAGCTTCCGATGAAGGAGCCCGGTCTTTGAGGCCAACAGCACTGCTTTCTTGTTTCGGCAGAGGTCCAGCTGCAGGCTTACACCCTGAATCATCCCCCCTAAACCCTGAACTACCCCAAACCCTGAACCTATAAACCCTAAACCCCAAAACCCTAAAACCCTAAAACCCCAAACCCCGAATCTAGTCTCGGCTGCCGGCTTCGACCTGTGTAGTGCGTCTCGGGGTCGCTCGCGTGGGAACCTCCGGCATCAACAGCCAGGATGAGGGCTCAGAAGCCACAGAAGCTATCAGATGCTTCTGGAAGGTGCAACCTTCAACCCCAGAACCGAGAGCGCAGAGTCGAACAGTCCAGAATGCGAAGAGCTTCATGCAAGATCTACAGGGACATGTATTCGCACAGCCTCGAGCGATGGCAGTTGGAGAGTCTGAGTCTGCGTTGGCCTGCAGAGGTGTCTTGAAGATATTGGTCAGGCTGGGGCATCATCTTTACTTTAGGGCTGCAGGGCTCCAGACTCTTGAATCTTGCTGTCATGTCGCTTCCTGCGAAGTAGGGCCTCCCAAAATTGTGACGTCAGGGCTCTTTAAAGTGATCGGGTATAGAAGGCGTAAGCCAGGAGAAGAAAGCCTCGAGAAGGAATTCTCGGACTCACAGAGGATCCCCGGCGTTCCGGGGTTTTTTGACAAGGCATTTCGGAAGTGCGTTGGAAGCAAGTAGTGTTTAATGTCGGAAGCAGTTCTTTAAGCCTTCCGCAACCCAAGAAGACTGGCCGTGTGAGAACCGTGCACTTCTCCTTGAAAAAGCAGCTTCAAGTGACCACCAAGCGCATGAAAACAACCCCCCCCCCCACCCCTCCGGCCCCCCCACCCTCTTAACGTTTACAACAACCAGTGATCTTGAAGGCTCTGACAGCATAGGCTCCCTCAAACCCATCCTCCCAAGCCCTTAGCCCTAACACCGCAGGATTTTTGGCTGAACCAAGGCCGCCGCGGCAAGGCTGACTCTGTCACCAAGGTCTCAGCCTGTGAAAAGGGGTCTGGGGATCGTTGGTTTTGGGGATTTCCTTGGGTTGCTAACAGGCTGGGGCTGATTGATGGGTGAATCTAGCGTAGATTCCTCGGAAAGGAGGCCAAGGCTTCTATGTCTGGAACTTCCTCAGGAGATCGTACATGCAGGGATAGAGAGCCAGGCAGCAGACTCTCAGGAATAGAACCGCGCAAGATTCTCGACAAGATCGCTGACGCTTGGCTGAGGTTTCAGTGGCAATTAACCGCTTCGGTGGAGGGGCGTTCGCTGAAGAATTCAGGGACCCTTGATGCTTTCAGAGTCTGGGGTCCAGGGAGTGGTACCTTCGGCAAGAATCCGATATCAACAGGGCTTGCACTGCCGAGGCTGACTCCAAAGCCCCTGAATTAAGGAATATACCTGAAATCATACTAGGGCTCCTAGTATAATTCAAAGGGATACTCCTTAATTAAATCATATTAGGGTTCCTATTAAAGTTGAAGGGATACTCCTTAATAAACCGGGTGTTTTTGTTTTTGGGAGCCTCCCTGGAGCCCCGAGCCCCGGCCCAGCCTCGTCTTCGTCACCACCAGGCGACGTCGGTGATGGCATCTCTGTTGGCACTGGCATCTCCTAGGGTTTAGGGTTTAGGGTTTAGGGTTTAGGGTTTAGGGTTTAGGGTTTCACCGGGTATGCGGTCAGGATTACAGTAAGAGCGTTGGATGCTTGACTTGGTTGTTTCAGAAGGTACATGGGCCGAGGAGGGTGGCAGATTCTTGAGTCTGAAGACGCGGGAATCAATATCAAAGCTTGTTGCTCTGGATGTAGATGTTGGGCGATCGGGGTGGCAGGGCGGCGGTGGGCGTAACCTCTCCTGCGCAGCGGGACAACCGTTTCTAGCCCCTGCTTTGCAGAACAAAACAGCTGGGAATTGAACGGTCAAACTGTCTTTGCTGGAAAGTCTCGCTTGTCACAACGAAGGTGTTCCAAGCCACGGCAAATTGAAAACCCTGACTCGAAAAGAACCTGAACCGAAATCGCAGGAATCATAAGCTTTAACCCTAAACCCTAAACCCTAAACCGTCAACCCTAAACCCTAAACCCTAAACCATAAACCCTAAACCCTAAGCCCTTCAAGACACCAACCCCTGGACTACACCCTTCACGGCACCGTCGGGGACTCTTCGTGGACGCTGCTGCTGGCCATCCTCAGCTTGACGCTGCTCACTCAGGGTTTAAGGCTACCATTAGGGTTTAGTTAGGGTTAGGTTTAGGGTTTAGGGTGGGTTGAGGGAGGGTTTAGGTTTAGGGTTAGGCTAGGTTTAGGGTAGGCTTTCGTGAAAGGTCAAACCAAGGCACCGCTGTCCGTGATGGGATCGGAAAGGCTACACTCGGAGGCCGATCAGGCCACTGACGTTGTGCACGAGCCATCTATGAGATCTGTGAGAGCCTTTTTTCGGAAGTTGCTCGGCTGCATTTGGGGGCCTTGTGGGGATCTCTCAGCCAAGAGGGTCCGTTTCTTTTAAGGCGTCCTGGCCCAGCAAACAAAGAAAGCGCGAGTCCCGGACATCTGCGATGCCGACACCTCCAGCAACAAAGGGCGTTGTCGGGTGAGCACAGGCATGGACAAGCCTTTGTTTCAGATCTCCAGCATGCCCTCAGCCCTAAACTTCCCTAAGCCCTAAACCATTCTCTACATGGAGCTTAGGGAAGATACGCCTTATTGCAGCCATGGTTACAGATGCTGTCACAGATTTACATACCTCCCCCGGACATTCTACACAACATAGAAACTATGAACCCCCACCAATTGCAAGCCACAACGGGACTGACATTGTCTGGTTAAGCTTCAAGGTCACACATGCCTCCTGACACCCCTAGACAGCACTCTTCGCATCGAGTTTCCCAAGATGTGGTGTGGTGTATCGGAACTGGTCAAACGACTTTGAAAGCACTTCCTCCTCTACCTTGGTCCTGATTCAACTGTGGAAATCATGTTGGGTGGCAGAGAACAGGAGGTGTACGCCGCACTTCTATCAATCCCATCAGATCCGTGCTTTATTGCAAAGCCTGAGGGGCTCGGTCTGGACATGTAGAACCACGAAACCAGAAAAACTCTAAACACATGCAGCATCGGGAATCGCGAAGAACATCCAGAAAAGAAACGTTGACAATGTAGAACAGACCCGAATCCCAGTTGCCTACGGGTGTAAGCCTCAATGACCTTAAGGCTTCATCCTTGTGCATTGACGTTTTGCGGGCCTCATGTTTGTTTGTGCCTTGGTTCTGGGAACTTGGCTGCACTTAGGAGGGTAGCTATAAATTAAAAATTCAGCTGCCTTATTAAGAAACCCAATAAACCCAAAAAGGCTAAGGATCTAAAGTTACAGTAAAGCACCGCAGAGGGAATATTTCAAGAATCTAGCACTCAGAGTTTCGGGCTTCAAATGGTTCGTTAGTTTTTGGGGCTGCCGGCGCCACCTCCATGCCGGGCTGCAACACAGTCCGAGTGGGCCTTTGCCAAGCCCTAAACCCTAAACCCTAAACCCTAAACCCAAACCCCAAACCCTAAACCGTAAACCGTAAACCCTAAACCCTAAACCCTAAACTTTACGACCTTCCAAACCCGAAACCTCCCAAGGCTAGGGCTTCGGGCCTTATAGGGTTTTGGGGGTTATTATAGTATATAATCATAAAGGGATCAGAAGGGAATACAGTCAGCAATTATTCCGACCCCTATATTGCGTTCCAGAAAGCCAACAGATTCCGAAGCTTAGAGACCTCACAAAGCTTTACCCCCATGACCCGTACACAAAACCAGCACCCCTGCGCCACGTTTAGAAAGAATTTGGCTGTTGGTTGTCGCGAAAAAAGCACTAGCTTGTGAAACAAAAACAAGATTTAACAGTTCTTTGAATGTTGTTGAACGCACAAGATGAAAAGCACCATGGCTGTACCAAATGCTGCACCAGAACCGCGCACATGTATCCACAGTGCGGGATTAAATGCTCTAATTCTTTCCAAACTTGGCCAGAACCTCATGTCTTCTCGGGCATTTGGCATTCAATGCGTCGACTTTCGGATCTGTGTGCGGAGATGTTTTGGGGCTTTTGGGCTCCGCTGATGCCGTGAGGCAACAGATTGACAAACAAGCAGCCCCGCCTTGCTAGGGTTCCGAAATGTGCGTCTGAGGCGGCAGCGGTAAGGCTGAGTCAGTCACCAGCGTGGCCACCTCTTCGACATGGTTGCGTGTTCATGTAAATCGGCTCTGCATCAAGTTCCATATGCTGCGTTCGCCACAGAGCCGAAGCATCTAGAATGCGTGGTTTCCTGGCCCAAGTTAGATTTGTAGCCAGCAGCTTAATGAGGCTAGACTGTCGTAGACATCAAGAGAACACAAGACAAACAGACTTCTCCCATGTGTGATCAGTGTGCACATGCTTCCACAGTGTGCTATAGGACACACACGTTGTGCGAGATACCCGTCAAGCCGGTACACCGAAGCCGTGTTAAAGTCTCAGGACACTGTTTAGATTTAGGGTTTAGGGTTTAGGGTTTAGGGGTTTAGGGGTTTCGGGGTTTCGGGGTTTATAGGGGTTTAGGGTTTAGGCGTTCTCAGCAGCTACGGAAAGCAGAATGTGCTCGAGAACAGCAGGATGGCACGGCAGGCTTTGCAGAATCCATGATGGTCGTTGCCCTCTTTGATCCATGTTCAGGCGCATGTCAAATTCTGAACCCGAGCTGATATAATAATTCCATGATATATACCATAATATATACCAGAATAATACCATAATGACCCCATACGATACACCATAATATTGACGCAATTGACGCAATAATGCCATAATATATACCAGAATAATCCCACAATATATACCACAGTATGTACCAAAATATATACCAAATATATACCAGAATTCTCCCAGAATATATACCATAATACTCTCAGCATGCTTGGGAGCCTCATCAGCCGGTGAGGTCGGCGATGGCACTTCGGTGGGCACCGGCATCTCCTTCACAAGCGCGGGTACGAACAACATGAGTTTAGGGTTTAGGGTTTAGGGTTTAGGGTTTAGGGGGGCCTTGGAGTGAGAGGATTGAGCCTGAATAAGGGGCCTCTAATCTGCGTAACTTGCGAAGGCGCTAGAAGGGCCGTATTCTACAACTGAGAGTTCGCAAGAATCTAAGAACGAAGGTGTTTCCACGAAGGATAGGTTTGCAAACCCTCCATGTGTGAACTGAGTAGCTGGGTTGTGATGGGGGAATCTGGGTGTTTTCTAGAAGCAAAGCTCAGCAGTGCTTCTGGTTGTACTAGTTAGGTCCAGTCGGGCTCCGCCCCCCCTCAACAATTTGCAAGCAGGAGCTTAGAAAACCGAAGAGGAACGATGGCTCGCGGGCCAAAAGAACCCCAGGAGAAAGAGGGAAGCAGGGGGACCAAAGGAAGAGGAGCACCAGAGAACTAATACAGGGGTGGGAACAAATACTAAAATAGCAGTTCCTTTATATTTATGAATAGCAGGTCCTTTATATTTATGATATAATAACCCCCAAAACCCTATTCCAATTGTTCAGGCCCCTTTTTTTTAGGGGACCCAGGAGACCAAGGTCTCACTGGAGCTCCCACGAGGAGCAGGGAGGGGAGCAGAGAGGGGACGAGACCAGAGGACCTACACCGGAGGACCGAAGGATCAGGGGGCCTGAGCCACACCCTCAAAAAAGGAGAGAGAGAGAGAGGGGAGTTTAGGGGCTTTAGGGGTTTTTAGGGATTTATAGGGTTTATAGGGTTTACAGGGTTTAGGGTAAATGCACTGGCCAAACTCTTCTTGCACAGTGTCAGACCAAGACAGACTTTGGTAAGAAAAGAACAGACGAGACAGAATCTGTCCAGTACATGCCGTTTAGGTCCTTCAACAACCTGCTATGCATGCACGCAAGACTATTTGCACTTTGATGCTTCTGCGGAGCTTCAGGAGTGATTGAAGAGTTTGCTTCAGCTCTCAACTTTCAGGTTCAAGTGAGTGGGTGAGAGAGAGAGAGAGGGGGAGATTCATCTGCTCTCAGTTTCGGTTCTTGTTTGTACCAGAGTCACACACATTGCATTGGCTGCCCCGCCTGCTGACGTAACGAGGTTTTGTGTGTTGGACAAGTTCTAAAGCGTCTGCTGCTCAATCCAGATGCTTGTGCGTTGGCAAAGCCATAGTGTCAACGTGCAAGTCTTATACTTGTACAATCTGCAAAAAACCCTTGGAAGTTTCTGCGCCACCACCCCATCATCGCCACAGCACCCTCAACTCCAGCTCCTAAACCCTAAACCCTAAACCCTCTAAACCCTAAACCCCCTAAACCCCCTAAACCCTCTAAACCCTCTAAACCCTAAACCCAACACCCGACGCCGATGCCGTCCGTGGGAGACTCCCGCATGGCACTGCTGCTGACCAGCCTCAGTCATATTAGGAGCCTTCAGAATTAGGACAGGGTTTTGGGGGGTGCATACTATAGAGGCCTTCATACTTAGAATAGGGGTCCTTAAGAATTGGAATAGGGTTTTGGGGCGGGGGGGGGTATTGTAGTATAGCTATATATAGGCACCACAAGGGAATGCGACTAGTAACTACGTCATTAGTCAGTCTCGTCTTTAGCCCTATAAGCCTTCTCTGAGTCTCTGCAAGCTCCAACCCAGACCCGCAGCCAGAACCTTATGGGCTTTGAGACCGGAGGTTTCGGCCTGGGAGCCCGATATTTTGAGAGGCTTAATGTCCCAGTTTAGCAGGGTGATCCTGCTTAAAGACGCTATGCAACACAGCTTTTCGGGCATCAACATATACCGTGCGGTGCGCATTTCAAAACGAGGCCCTTCGGGAAAAGGGGTCAAGTTTCGAAGGGAAGCATTTAAGGGTCGTTCTGTCTGAAGAACTCCGCTGGCGGGCTGTTCCCAGAACCAGCGCAAGGTCTGAGGTCCCTTTTGAATCCGGGAGGGGAGGCGGGGACCGTCTAAAGAGGGAGGGAGGGAACTCAGGAAGCAGGGTGGAACATTACTAGTCTAGCGGGAAAGAAGGGGATGTAGAAACAACTGAAAATGGCTACGGGTTACTTCAAGTTTACGGTACAGGAGTAGGAAGGAAGAAGCACCGCTGCAGATTGAACCGCGCGTACTTTCATGGTGCCTGGTGACCAAACTCTCAGATGGTCAATTCTACTGGCTTGCTGGGCGGGATGCTACTGCAAGTGAAGCCCAAACGAAGCTTTCATTCACAACCTGAAACATGCTTGAATTCCTTGCAACCCCACCATACAAACTCGATCCCTGTTGAGTTCCGCACGCTGACACGGAGGCCTCAGACACACAAGCAACTGTCACGTTTGCAGAGGAGCGACCTGGGTCCTGGGTGAATAGATGGAGGAGCACGAGGCTAGTGACTGTCATCTGTCCGATGGAGGTTCGGGGCTTCTTACGTTGCAATTTCGGATGAAACAAGCAACAGACGCTAGGTGCTCCGGCTGGGGAACGTTGTAAACACTGACTGTGTCGTGTCGCACGTTGCTTGCGGCGTGATCTTTTACAAGCATGCGCTCTAGAGGTTGCGAGCTTTGGGGCCACTATAGGAAGCAGGTTCACCCCGACCTGAACCTCAACCTTGTAGGTTTTCTCAAAGTCGCGGACCCCTACCCCACAGGCAACAAGAAGCTTTGGAGCTCAGCTCAACACCTCGAGCCTGGCGCTTCTTTGCGTAACCCTGGTCGGCACCTGTTTGGGTAGCAGGCACAACTAGGGGCCTCGGGCTTTTCAAATCCTAGAACATTTCAGAGTGCACATAAGCTTCACGTTGAGCTAACGTTCAGGCAAGGTGTGAAGGATTGGAATGCAAGAGAAGGGCAGAGTTCAACTAAGCGAGGTTTAAGTATTCCCTGCAAAATCATGCAGGCGAAGTCGATGGCGTTTTGCTTTCAGCAACGGTGTTTGACAAGGCTCCTCACACTTTTGCATCTTTGAATCCTCTCTGCAGTGGCTTCCCCGTGTTTGTGTGCTGCACAATACGCATTTTCCTCTTATAACTGGGAAACAGTGCGACTTGGAAGAGCTAATGGCCGAGCGCGCTGGGGAGCGCAAAACCCTTGTGGGCTTGTGGCACTGGTGGCAGCTTGTGACGATCTTCCGAGGTGACATGCTCCAATCTCAACAGTTCACGTTTGTGCATGGTGAAGGCTATGTATGTACTTGATGAACAGTCCCATGCTGTTGTGAAGTTGCTGGGGGTATCAGCGGCCCTTGTCTGACACGTTTGAGACATTGGACCTTGGTAGCTGCTTGCAAAGTGCCGATGTGAGGCCAGCCAGCTCAGCGAGCCTACTTATACTTCGAACTGCTCCTTGTAGCCACCATTGGCGAAGTCGAGAAGGACGAAGCCGCGGGGTCCAACTGATATCTGTGGCAGGGCAAAGCTTGGGAGTGGTCATTGGCGCCGGCGTGGCGCATGGAGGCGCCGTTACTGCAGCAGGGTGCTGGACCATCACCGCACCCTTGTGCGTGCCACTGCATTTACCAGTGAGCTTTGCATGTGCTTGTAGCCCAGCGCGGTTCTAGGTGAGGAAGCACTGTTGCTGAGGTGAGGAACTAGCCGCGGTACTCGAAGACTTGGATCAGTTAACTCCAAAACAGCCTAAGAGCTTCACGTGAAGCATACGTTCGCTTATGCCACGCGTCATGCAGCATAATATAGCCAAACCCACTCTGGAGCCCCGTTTCTGGTGGAACACAGGTCTCCCAGGCCGCGCTCTGTGTATGTGTGCCCGACACATGCCCCTACAAATGCAAAACCAGCTAGTCGATAGAATCCTCCTGGGAGGCAGTGAGGTGTAGGTCAGTGTAGGTGTGGTCCGAAAAAAATGGGCTTCACGAAACTCCTTGACGCTTCTCAATGAAACTGGGCTGAGCGTTGCTGTGATGCCAGGTCGAGCAGCATAGGGTTTAGGGTTTAGGGTTTAGGGTTTAGGGTTTAGGGTTTAGGGTTTAGGGTTTAGGGTTTAGGGTCTAGGGTCTAGGGCACACTGCGGAACCACAGTAGCCCCGACGGCGGTGTGCTTCGCAAAACTCGTTCCACTTGACGTGTCCATCCAACAGCCCCTTTTCCAGGTCCAGGATTTGCCGCTCCTGCAAAAAAATGCCGAAAACAAAAAGCTTTCAACTCCCAATACACCCCCCAACAAAACATCTGGAATCCCATCCAAATCCTCAAACAATTCTGACACCCAGGCTGGTTTCTAAAACTCTGAAGCCGCGCAACCCTAAACCTGAAACCCACGACCTCATCCCTCAAACGGCTGGTCGCCGTTCAAATTTTTGAGTGCTTGCCTCGTCTTCTCTGGTGGCTGTCAGTGTCGCCGTTGCTTCACGCTGCGCTGTGACGGTTGGCAAAGCCTCCGTTTAACAAATAGAAGAGCTTACGGGTGGCTCGGGGGGGCGGGGGGGGGGGGGGGGTGCTTGTAAGCTTTGAGGGCACATGGCATGGTGTTTTGCTACCAATCCTCGCCTGCTAGCAGCCGATGCTCATGATGCGGGGGCAACGTCCACATGTTGAGAGCGGTTGTAAGGGCAGTTGATGGCCAATGATGCTCGCCTTTCAGCAGCTGCAGCCGCTTGAAGTTGAGAGCGGTGGCACGGACAGCAGATGCTAATGATGCCGTTTGGGAATTCATCTATAGTCCTTGGAAATTTAGATATTTCTCTTGTCCTGTTTCCACTCTGTTCTGTTCCGCTTAGTACAGTACAGCAAAGGCGTGCAGATTACTAGCGCTTTCTGTATTTATATTCGCTGCGATTTCTATTGCTATCACTGCTACAGCTACTACTGCAGCGACGACGACTACCACTACTACTACCCTTCCCATTTTCTGCAATTCAATTGTATGTAATGGTAAGTAAGGGAAGTAGTGCTCATGATGCTCGCCTTTGGGGACGGAGGCTTCCTCGCAAGGCTGGGGTACTGATGCTTATGGGCTCCAATCTCTGCCGACACTTCCGCAAGAGTGCAGCAGAACCCCTAATTCCGAACTCTACACGCAAGAATCGGAAAGCCCTGAGCCTCAACCTTACATATACCGTAGACATCCCTAAATCCAAGTCATCCTGAATCCTATGCTCCAGTCCGGAAACAGCAGCCCAGGTCCCGGGGCCCTGGCTGCCGGACTAGTGGGTGACGGCTTGTCCGTTGGCACCGGCAGCTCGCCTGGGCAGGGTGTGTCGAGGTTCTGCTGAGGCTTGCATGAGGGCCTGTACTTTCAGCGACTTCACGGTTTCCCCAAGCACAACTTAAGGTCAGAAAAGCCGTGGCCGGCGTTTTGGGCTTTAGGATCCGATCAGCCAACTCAGTGGACCAATCACCTGAGCTTCAAGCATAAAAGCCCTACAGCCACTCGGGCGATGTTGAAACATGCAACCTGCCTACCAGGCCGTGCCAGTCTATATGCACCTTCCCTAAACCCTAAACCCTAAACCCAAAACCCTAAACCCTAAATCCTAAACCTTGAGCCTGGGACCGTCTCGGATTCTACTGGGTCACAGGGCCGAAGTCCCCGAAGCAGCCCCAAAGCCACGACAATCCCATCAATGCGTTGCCAATCTCTGAGAACTCTAAATACCCTAAACCCTAAACCCTAAACCCTAAACTCTAAACCGAACAATGGGCCGACTCAAAAGCATCTCCCCAAGCGGCTCGGAGACGGGGCCCGTGGCTGCGCCTGGAACAGCGCTTCACCGGTTTTGAAGGATCTGGGTGGTCTTCCCAAAGAGCCCAATACCCCTTCATTCAGGAATATTCCTTCAATCAAAATAAGGATCCCTTTATATTTTAAGCTATATATTCCTTAATTAAGGAGTCTTTTATTAATTTAAGCTATATACTCCTTAATTAAGGGGTATTGGGCTCCCTGGGTTGAGCTTTCTGAGGATTCTTGGTGTTTTGAGTCCGTCTGGGCTTCGGGTCCAGGATCCTGGGAAGTCCAGGGCAGGGCCTAAACACTTTAACCCGGGTTTGAAGGACCTGCAAGGGTTTAGGGTTTAGGGTTTAGGGTTTAGGGTTTAGGGTTTAGGGTTTAGGGCTTAGGGTACATCCGTAAACCCCGTGTGCAAGCTAAACCGTAACCCTTACAACCAAGATGGTCAAGAGACCGTTTTGACCAGCGCCTTCCCATAAAGCCGAAACAGTCAGGACGAGCAAGGCGAAGACAACACAATCCGCTTATTGCTTGCCCTTCCGCCGGCGCACTCGGCCTTCAAGCGCTTGGCCCCAGCAGAGTCAGGGGCTGTTCAAGGAGTAAGCTAGATGGAAGGACGTGAAAGGAATCTCAACGAACAACACCGTCGCGGAATGCGTGAAAGAAGCTCCTTGTAGGACCCTCATGTTGTCGAAGCCCAGACCGATCATCTCGACATTTTGCCCGGCGCACTCGGGCATTGCGGAGGGTAGGCGTACTGCCGCTTTGCCGCCCGATGCATCCATGGACCGTAACGGCGCACAGTCCAGCGTCTGTCTTCTAGAATGTAATCACATGGAATCACCACATCTGGGTGTGCCTCTGACTCCTGAAATCAAATCTTGGATCGAATTCGCCCGAATTTGCAAGAAAAACAATCTGTATAGTCTCCTAAACTGCATAAAAGCCCCAAGTCCCTACGCGCCAATGCAAATGATGCAAAAAGCAAACAAAGCAAATCTGCTACTGTAGAGGCCTTTTAGATGACATGCTGTGGAACCCGCGCCTCCAGGAATACAAACATGTCATCCTAGAACCCCAAGATATGGCAGTGGGTCGAAAACCCCTTTGTCGCGGAGAATCGCTGTCATATCTTCAGTGCGTTGGGCTGGGGCTTAGGCAGTCGTGTTATCACACGTGTTCCGGATTGTCAGGTTCTGTCCGCTGAAAAGGCGAGAACCGAAACCTTATAACCACAAGCCTCACAAAGGGGTTTAGGGTTTAGGGTTTAGGGTTTAGGGTTTAGGGTTTAGGGTTCAGGGTTTCAAGCATCCTCAAGCTGGAGCCCTGCAGTGGTGGCCTTCTGCCGGCGTTTCGCGCTGGACTGAATGTCTATGGGCGGCAGGAGCTCCTAGACGGCGTGAATTCCGGTGATCGGGGGTTTAGGGTTTAGGGTTTAGGGTTTAGGGTTTAGGGTTTAGGGTTTAGGGTTTAGGGCTTCACCAGCGTGGGCTATTAGGCCTTCTAATCCCCCTAACCAACCCTATAAAGGGCCTTCTCAAAGGGGTTATAGGGTATAATAGCCCATGCAGGCAGAGATGGAAGACAAGCCAAAGAGAAAGCGCTTGAGGGTTAGGTGTTTGTGGAGACCTTAGACATCACAGTCGAACCAGATCAAAACCCTTCAAGTGGTCGCATCTTCAAGCCACATGCGTCTTAGGGTTTTCGACGTTTTCGAGTGTTGATACATGCCAAAGCCTGAAACCTAGATCCGGCAGCCTTATTACACATCAAGAGTGAAGGTGAAACGAGCCATGCTACGGTACCCAAAGAAGACCTGTCGCCTGCACCCGTGCACAGGCCCTAAACCCTAAACCCTGAACCCTAAACCCTAAAACCCTAAACACGCCTCCACCTCGGACAGCTGCTCCACAGCACGCTTCCTGCCGGGAACAGATTTGATGAATTGAGCCTCGTGCCTCGAGCAAGCCAGCCACCTCCAAAATGCTTACTGCATGTCGACAGATTATTTTAGCCAGTGAGCGAGGGTCGGATTTGGGATTTGTAGCTTCGGAACAAGCTTTGGCACTCAGGATTTCGGTCTAGCCATTTGGTGCTGGGGCAGAGACGGTTGGGTTCAGAACAAAGGGTTGGGGTTGATCTACTTTTCCCGAAAGAAACACCCCCAAACCCAGAGGTGTCAAGTGATGGGGGGCTTCGGGTTAGATGGATATTATTGGTCATGCAGCAGTACTTCGAGCTACATGGTCTGGAAAAACTTCGTGAGGTTGCAAGTTTGGGGAATGGGATTTCAAATTACTTCGCTTCTCCGGCAAATCATGTACTGAGAAGCAAACAAGCACCGAACCCTGCGCCCAAAGAGCCCGCGATGCTATCCATGGGCATAGGGCTGGCCTCTCAGACCTTTCTGTGCCACTCCGCTCCTGGGTGAGGGACAGCGGTTAAACTTTGGGGGGAATTCCTGCTTGAGTTTCTTGGGTCCACGACCCTAAACCCTAAACCCAGAAGCCCCAAAGAGCCTCATATTTCCCAGCGAAACACAAACCCACTGCATGTTTGTTGGCCAGGTGAATGAAGGGGATCAGCCTTTCATCCTTTCATCGAGGAGTATATTGCGACTGATTGAGTAGTACTTCAAAGCGGCATCTCCGGTGTCAACAGGCATACATGCATCTTCGTGCTGGGTCTGGTATCATGCAGGTTCCCTACTTGCTCGCTTTCGCTGGAAAAAAGAAGCCTGGTATTTCCTGCCCAAAAGTGACGCTGGGGAACCTTACAAAACACAGGCTCCCGTGACCTAAACATCACACCGTCGGCTCAGAGGATGCACTGCAGTCTCAGTTCGAACTTCGGTCTCGGGTTGATGGGTCAGGTCTTTGTGTCTACGGTTTTTGCCTACGAGCTCCCAGGACTCTGGAAGCCCTGAGCCCCAAACCTTCAGGGTGAACCTCAATCCCTCCAACGGGGCCCGCGCCGTTGGCACCGGAAGCTCGGTGGGCGTGGGCTCCTCGGGAGGTGCCTCGGCAAGGGGCTTGGGAGGATGTTGCCGGCTTCAGAAAGTGTCAGGCCGTTCTACACGCGTGGAGAGTGGCCTTAGAGTGTGGATGTGTGGGTGTGAGATGATGTGATCAACGTACCCACATGTTGAGGCCCACAGGCAGCGAGCTTGTGTGCTGCTAAGAGCCCCAAACCCTAAAGCACGACTGCGGAGTCAGGTGGACATAGAGATAGAGAGAGAGAGGGCCCGTTGGCCACAGCATGCCACAGTAACCTATTAACTGGACACCCGAGACCACTGATATCAGGAGAAAGGCAAATGCTGGAGCGGCGCCCAACTTTGGAAGAGCACGGCTATGCAGGTGGGCAAAGTACATCTTTATAGACAGGGTGGGGACTCATCTTTTGCACGAGTCTAAACATGCTTCCCAGCAAAGAACATTTCATAACAACAAAAACAAATGTTTTAGTTCAAGCGATATTGCAGTCAGGAAAGCTGCTGCACAAATCATCACAAACGCTGTCAGAAGCCTTGCGAAAACAAGAGGTCGCACTCAAAGAGCAGCCTTCGAGGAGCACCCTTCCAGACTTCCTTGAGGTAATTTAGGGTTTAGGGTTTAGGGTTTAGGGTAAAAGGTTAAGGGTTTAGGGTTTACCACTTTCAAAGTGCTCTCGAACAAGTTGGAACATGCGAACATCAGATCAAATCACAAAGCCCAAGCCTAAGAGGAACTAATTCCAGAGTCACACGATCCCGGTTCAGCGGCGAGGCAACATGAACCAGCTCAGCAAGCCTCTGCGATCCCTTGGGGGTCCGGCCGATTCCATCAGAGGGGCTGAGGCCACCTCGCGGGTTTGTTGGGGCTTTAGGGTTGAGATCTTCGGGTAAAGGTGCTAGTGTTCTCAGTAATGATACTTGCTGTAGGCTCTGCATTGCGTGCCCGGAGGGGTGTAGCTGAGAATGAGGCATGTGGGCAAAAACTCACCGCAAAGCCGCAAACGGGCAAACGGCCACAAGTGCGGTTGCTGTTCGACTTGAGTGTGCCCAATGCTTCGTCAGTTGCTGGGAAACTTCGAGGCATTGTGCAAAGCTTTGGGTCCTATAAGCACCATTCGTGGAGCCGTGAGCAAGGCACATAAGTGGAAGGTGAGGGCTGTGCAAGTGGAGCTGAGGGTGTTGCAAGATCGTGACTTTAGAATGGTGCAGAGACTAGAGTGCACTGGGCTTGATAGGCTTTTCTGGGCGCTTGTGGCAGTGCCTAGGCTCAAGGTCCGGGTTTGATCGAGGGTTCATGTGTCAATGCTTCTTCGTGGCAAAAAGCACAAGGTTGGGGATGAATAGGCCCAGGGTGTATGGTTCAGAAGACGTGCGTGAACGAACAGTTAACATGTCGACTCTTGAAGCTACGTCTGGTGACGGCTTTGACAGGCCTCCTCGTCGTCACATGGCTCGTTGAAGGATGTTGGGGATGGCCGTCGGGTGGGAACCGGGACGTCTGCCGGCGACGTCCTTGGCTGAACCGGGATGGGGCTGGCATGGTTTGTAGTTGTATAGAGCTTGTAAGCCAAAAACCCGAAGTATGGGCAAGTTCTGGGTATCTGTGTGCATTGCAGCGCTGCTGCCGGTACGTCGAATACTTTTCCGGCCGAATGGTGCAAGCACAGAAGACACAGCATGCCACAACCCCCCCCCCCGCCCCCTTATGTACCCTCCTTACCCTTGTACCTCCCCCTTATGCCCCCCTGATAAACCCTTAGACGCCTGTGGGGCCTGTGCTTGGCCCCGGACTCCTGGAGCGTGGGCACAGGCCGGGCCTCTGGGACCTGTCTGTGGATTCATTCAACTTGGGGGGGTGGTTTAGGGTTTAGGCTTTTGGGGTTGAGGGTTTAGGGTTCTGAGAAAGGTTAGGCTCCTGGGGCAAAGCGCCTCTAGTCTAGAATACAGCGATCTGCGAGGCGTAGGAAAAAATCGCGGAGAGCTTCCAGGCAGGAAGGGGTGAGTCAGAGGCACTGCTTATGGTTGAGCTGCATTCGTAGTCTGCCTGCTTCCCAGGATGGGCCATTAGGCCCCAGAATCCCGAAAATCAACCCAAAAAGGGCCGTTTTTTTCAGGGGTTATAGGGTATAGTAGCCCCTCTTTAAGGGGTTATAGATGGTTATAGGGTATAATAGCCCATGCAGCTTCAGCTAACTTAGGGATCCATCATCGCCTCGATCTCCACCCGGGCAGCCTCCTCTGTGGGCGAGGTTTCCTGGCAAGCTGCTTCCATCCAAAACTCCGATGCCGGTCCCTAAAACTGTTCTGCTTGTTTTTGCGACCCATTCCTATCCTGTTCTACAGTATATAAAACTGTTATGCTTGTTTTTCGACCCCTTCCGACTGTTTTACAGCATATTGCGCAGTTCTTCGTCTTTTTCAATGCCCTACGCCTACCCCTAGGTGGAGGGCGGCCCCGAGCACCACGTGCGGCATGATACAAAATCTGCAGAATGTTTTCGCTTTCTACTCCTTTCAGTCTTACAAGCTACGCGCCCCTTGTATTTCTATCATACACAATTGTTCCCCTAACAGTGTGCCAACACTATGGGGCTCTTACGTCCTGAGAAAAAGAGGGTTATGTTGAGTTGCGCGACCGACACACGCGAAAGGCGCGCGAAACGCCTGCGAGTACGCGGAGGCTGGTATTCCTCTTGTAAGCGGGCGGTCGCATTTTGGAGGGAAGTCGTATACCACAGCGCAGGTGATGTCCCCGACTTCTTGGAGCCACGAAACATCGCATAATGACATACTTTCGTTTCGTGGATGTTGTCCAATCGCATTCTCGCCTAGGCCCTGTGCGATTTCGTGGTGTTTCTGGCTGGACATCGTGCTCTCTGCCTAATCCGCTGCGTTTGTCGTGGTTTGCATCGCTAAGCCTCCCGAAAACGTGGCGGGCGTGTGGAATCTTGCATTTTGTGCTGTTGGATTGTTTCTCTGCGTCCAGACTAAGGAGATCTGCAATCTCGATGTTGGAACTCGCACTGCGTGCGCATCGACGTCGCCATCCTCGTACGAGTAACTCGTCGCTTTTGTACGTCGGGGTTCGCCAAGTCCGAAACTGCCGTCGCTTTTGGACGTCGGGGTTCGCCAAGTGCGAATCAAACTGTCGTCACTTTTGGACGTCGGCGTTCGCCACATGCGAAACAGTAGTCGCTTGCGGTGTTTTTGGGGGACGTCCGGAGCCCTGGTGACAAGAAAGTCGACTTTTGCAGTACAATCGTAGTACGCCGAGGTGCAAACGTAGTGCGCCGAGGATGTTGTCCGGAGCTCTGGTGGCACGAATTTCAACTTTTCTAGAACCAAAGTAGTACGCGGAAGACGTCCGGAGCTCCAGTGGCGCCAATTCTGCCCTGAACAACCCTATTCGCATGGGCCTGAGGTAGTTTCAACTTTGGAGACGCCTCGGGGTTTCTTGGAGGCCTCTGCTGCGCCAAGCGCAGAGGCTTATCAGGGCTCAGGCTGCTGGATCGGGGTGCTTTCGGGATAGGGCCATTGCAGCTACATGAACTGCTTGTAGCCCTGTTTCCGACACTCACTCTGCATCCATGCCCCACATCCCAAGTCCCCCAAAGGCCAACAAAGCATCAAGAGGCCGACGAACCCTGAATACGCCCTGAAACCCAAGCTGACTGGCCCTTTGGTTTAAGTGACTTCATTCCGTCACAAGAGACGAGACACGCCCGTGGCAAAGCCATGTCGGATCGGCTGCAGGAGATTCAACGACAGCAGAGACCCCAGGTTCTGGCGTGTTGTCCAAGGTATCGGATGTTGGCTTCAAGTCCAACTCAAAAACAACAGACTTTAGATTTAGATCTCAATGTGTGGGGCAGGCAAGTTGAGAAGGCCACACGACCGATATGATTGTTCTGATGGAGGTCGACAAAACTGAACGGGTGATGCATGGAGGGCGTTGGGGCGGCTTAGGGTCGAAGATGTTTTCGTGAGCCCTCCGAGAGCTGTGCTGGGTGATGTCTAAGTATTGTAAAACATTTGCAAGTACCTGAAACCTCCAATCCCCAAACTCCAGCAGGAAAAAAACATCTAAAGCAACCAGCGAGTCCTTCATCTCGAAGTGTTCATTGAGTTTGGGCCCAACCGTTCTCCCCATAGAGCAAGCTTTGGTGTCAGGCTTCAGAAACTTTTCGAGCTTTCGGGTTTGAAAGGGTCTTCGCTTGCTTTCGTGTTTTGGGTGCAAGGCTTAGCGCGCGCCTGGTGGCTCATGTCCCACGGTTGCCTTGGGAAGTGGCCCGACAATGGCCTCGAAGCGTTACTGTCGCAGGCAGCAAGGGGATCAGGATCTGAGACTTTAACGCTCCGGAGCTTTAGTTTGAGAGGCTTTGGTGCTATGTTCAGAGATTCGCTTGCCATCAGAACAGTGCAAAAGCCTGCAAGCCTGAGGGTCTGCCAGGGGAGCCTGGTCACTCTGTTGGCCAGGTGCCTAGACGTTGAAGAAAAAACGATCCGGGCATCATACGTGCGAAGCTACTGCTTTGAGCAGCTTGTGCTAACAGCACTCAAGTCATCCCCCTCGAAGGGTCGATTCTTCTCAACATCTCTTGAGAAGGAGACATCGCATCACCAGGCATCTCTGAAGGATTCTTTCCGTTAAAAAAAACCAGCCAAACCCCATGTGCCTGCAGTGGGACATGCCTCCTAGGACCTAAACTCCCCTCAAAACATCAATCAAAAAAACAATATGTTTGATGTCCTCTTGAGTTTTATATAAACAGGAATCAAAGAATGGTTCCCAAGGGGGATATAGCTGAAAGTTCAGCAGTTAACATTTACAAGCGCTCAGTAGACGCCACGCATCGTTTGGCCGCTTCTTTTAAGACCGCCGGTGACTTGACATTTGGCTCATCATGAACGACCAAAGTAAAAGGGGCTCCCCTAAACCCTAAACCCTAAACCCTAAACCCTAAACCCTAAACCCTAAACCCTAAACCCTAAACCCTAAACCCTAAACCCTAAACCCTAAACCCTAAACCCTAAACCCTAAACCCTAAACCATAAACACTAAACCCTAAACCCTAAACCCTAAACCCTAAACCCTAAACCCTAAACCCTAAACCCTAAACCCTAAACCCTAAACCCTAAACCCTAAACCCTACCCTACACCAGAGCTCCATCCCGCGCCTCTTCCTCGTCGGCAGCAGAGCCCATGGAGGTTGGCGATGGCCTGCTTGACAACCCTAAACCCTAAACCCTAAACCCTATGAGCTGTTTCATGGGCTCCAGCTGTCGTGTCGCTGTGGCCTATAGGGTCTATAGGGGGACTGGGGGTGGTGGGCTTTGGGTTAGGGTTCTTTCCTTCGAGACACACGATCGCTGCTGTTCACAGGCGAAGAGCAACCGAAGTTCAAGAGGCGACAGGTGCAGTTTCGACAATCTTGACCTCCCACACGTAGGATTCCTCCTCTCAATAAACGAAATTCGGACACTTGAAACACGAAGCGACGAAACTTGTGAGATCTTATAAGGCTCGTGCGCGATCTCCTTAGCACGTGGGATTTGCACCTCGGCTTCTTAGACGCTTTTAATCTGTAACTGCGGGCGGCAGATTTGCCCTCAGAACCTGGGAAAAGCTGCTTCTACGGTGCGCCAAGGCTTCTGCGGCCTCTGTTGTGCATATTGAAATAACCTGAAACAGGATAATACATACCAACGGCCGGCGAGTTGGAGCATAGAACCCCCCCCCCCCTCCCACCAGCGTGGCACACCAGACATCTGCACCGGTGTTTGGGTCAACGGCTGCGGTGCTCGCAAGGCCCAGCAGGATAGGCAGCCGGTCAAACGAAACTGGCAGCGTATTCAATCCGCAAGTCTTTGGATCGTTGGAACTCGGTGCTGATATGAATCTCCCCAGATGTCGTCGGGGACCCTTGAAGACATGCGAAGTCCGCACATCACGAGATAGGCACGAGCGAGTTCCTCCGGGGCTTAGGGTGAGGCGAATCAAACTGCATGGTGGCGTTCGCAATCCAAACCCTAAACCCTAAACCCTACACCCTAAACCCTAAACCCTCTCAGAAAGAATTTTGAGGGACACAACAGAGTCATCATGAAAAATCGTCCGCAAAGAAAGTGAAGCCGGCAACCATACTCGCAAGGAGCGAGGCATGCCGCAGTTGAACCAGATACCCTAAACCCTAAACCCTAAACCCTAAAGCCTAAACCCTAAACCCTAAACCCTTTTCTTCAGAGCAATCACTGCAACTGACCGGACTTAGGGGCCAATTCTCCAATTGGAGGGGGCTCCGGAGGCGGACCGAAAGAGCCCCCAACGATGTGAGTTTTTCTTTCAATGGACCCCATTTCTGTAGGAATTGGGGAAGCAAGGCAAGAGTACCCCCCTACCCCCCTACCCCTACCTCGCCGTCGGCACCGGTAGATCCACAGGCGAAGACCTTGAAGCTTGCTTTCATTAGGGTTTAGGGTTTAGGGTTTCGGGTTTCGCGTGAGTGCGATCAGCGCGATCGAATGTTCTACGAAGGTTGCATACCTTGGGTTTTGCTTGTCGGGGTGGGGTGGTGTGCGCCTCAGGCATGCCTGTTCTCATATTGCTGTATTGTCTCTCTCATTCAAATTCTTTGTCGCGTTTTACAAATCTTTCAAACTCGAGAACGCAACCATCTACAACCCCTCAATTCTCCTACCTTCACCAAAATCGAAGGCTGTGAGATCTTAGGCCTTGAGACTCGAACCTAAACAACGCCCTTGCAGAAAGACATTTGGAGCACTTCTCCCCTTTTGGGCTCCAGCAGGGCGGTTGGATGGGAGCCCGCTGTTGCAGTCCTCTCCGCACTGCTCTGGACCTGGGGGACACTGGGGGGGGGGGGGGTGGCGTCTTAAGGATGAGGGGTTTAGGGTTTGGGGTTTAGGCCTTGGGTGGCCTGGGCCTAAAGGGCTTTAGTTCGAGGAAGGCTGCAGGGCCTCTGCAGGAGGGACTCAGGTTCAGTAGGGATTTTGTTGAATCGAAGGTGTTGCGAGCTAAAGTTTATGCTTGCAAAGGCTTGCATCTGCATTTGCAGATACAAATGCATATACATATCTATATATAGCACATATTGCATATATTGCATATGCAGGGAGCCAAGAAGACTACCAATCCTCCCACGGGTCCATGCACGTGGGACGTGGGTTTGGGGTCTTAGGATGATCGGGCTCTCGGCGGCACTGCGAATGCTGCCTTTTCGGGGGTTTTGAAGATTTCCTCTTTGGGCCTCTTTGGTTGAGATGTTCCCCCCCTATACTGACAGTCCTCAATAGGGATTATCATGGGGGGGGGGGGGGTAGTATCATCCCCATGAAGGACTGCTAGTATAAGGGAGACATCCCAACTCTTTGGTTCCCTGAGACGGTTCCACTTGAGGTTACAGGACGCGGCTACGATCATGGCACTACACGATCGTTCACATGGGGGTCTACGAACATTTGGGGGGCCCCTAAAATAGACCCCCAAATAGTAGGATGCCCTTTCTAGAAGGACCCCAATAAGGTACCCCTAATTGTGGAAACCCCCATATCCACAGTCACTCCTCGCGTTTTGGCGCTGATGGATGCCCAGACCAGACATCCCTAAAACCAAAGACCTCCTAGATAAAAAGCCTAAACCCATGAAACTTGGGAAGGTCTTGGTGAGGATCGTGCCGTCGGCATGGTCGGTGCCGTGACGGTCTCACCTGCAAGAAAAAATTCGGAGCACGTATCCGCTGAAAACATGTTTGCTTGCGGCTCTGGGTGTTAGGCCTTTGACTGAAATGTTGTGGTTCGTCTATTGAGGCTGTGAAGCCCTCAAAGCCTATATAAATCGCCACGTCGCGGTCGGACTTTCAGGAGAAGCTCTTGTTTCATGCTCAAAAGCATACCAAAACAGCCCCTCCACCCCCCTCCACTCCCCCACAGCCACCTGCCGCCCGAAGCGTACCTTGACACCCTAAACCCCAAGGCTTCCCACACGGTTCGACCAGGCATGGCTGACCTATCGCAGGTCGTCGTTTTGTGCGCGGCAGTTTGCATTGAAAGTGCTGGGTTACCTGGCTTTTCTCGCATATCGCTGTCACACACCGTGGACTGAAGTTGCCGTCCTTGAACCACCAAGCCATTACCCAAGTCTGCAAGGCGATTTGCACACAAAGAAATCTAGTAATCAACTAATGAGCTTCGGGCTTGGGGTTGGTTTGCCCTCGAAGGGACCCTTAATCTTATTCCGCTAGAGAACGGAGATCCATGCATACCTTTCGTCCCTTGGTTGATTTCGGCGCAAGCCTTCCCCACCCCCATCCAGATTCACCACAAAAGGACCATCGGCAAAACTTCGGAAACTACATCCCCTCAAATCTTGAAACAAGCCATGATCAACCAAAGACCCACAACCCTTTCAACACCCAAGCTCCCCCCTAGACCCTACAGCCTACTATGAGCCCTTGGACCTTCGTCTTCACATGGGGTCGTCGGTGAAGGCACGTCCGTGGGCACTGGCATCTCTGTAGGCGACTGCACTGCACCTGAGTCCCGTTTAGGGCCCCTTTAGGCCAGCTCGATTGGGAAGGTTAAGCCAACTTTTGGCATGTCAACTTTGTGGGATTCTTAGGCTCACTCCAAGCACTTTGTTTTTTCATTCGCCCCGGCTTTCCAGCCGAGAGGCGTCCAGAACAAGCAGACCAGGGATCTGGTCTCCCTCCTTCCCCAACCATAAACTTTCTAGAGGAGTAGACCGGGAGAGGAGAAGAGTTTAGTTTTAAATTCTAACAAGCCCACACCGAGGGTGGGCAATATGTTCTATACGTACGTGTGCCGATAGATAACAATATAAAAAAACACTGTGTATATATATATATAGAGAGAGAGAGGTTGAGCACACGTATACAGATGCATTTATCTATGTATATAGTTCAATACATATGCGACTCCATGCAGACAGACAGTACGCAGATACGCATATACACACATGCACGCATACGCACATACACACATACACAGGCATATACATTTACACATACACATACACATGCACATACACATACACGCACATACACATATGCATACGCATACTCACACACATACACATACACATACATCTACACTTACACATACAGATACACGTCTATACATCTACGTCTACGAATATCAAAATACACATCTGAACATCTCTGCATCTCCACACTTCTACATGCATATCCATGCATCTGTGCATCTATGCATCTTTACAGATGTACATCACTAACTATGACACATAAGTCAAAACGCCGAACCCCTGATTAGTCATTGTTCTTCGACAATGTTGACCTGAAGACCCCGGCACCACCGCAACCCCAAGACTCCACGACTGTTGGCCACCCTTTTGGATGACCTTGCGTTGTGAAAATATCCCGCAGAACCCTGTGGTTCATGGCCCTACCTTCAAGATTTAAGGCCTTACAGCCTTACAGGGAACTGCATGCTCGTAGAGGAATGCCCAATCTGGGGTTGCATTTCGGGAGTCGCACAAGTATGATACGCGGATTTCCGAAAATAACCCTTTTTGGGGGTCCCTTGAAGGGGATTCTATTCTATTGTGGGTATAAGAGACCCTAAACCCTAAACCCTAAACCCTAAACCCTAAACCCCAAACCCTGAAACCCCAAACCCCCTAAACCCCCTAAACCCCCTAAACCCTAAACGCTAAGCCCTAAATCTGAACCCTAAACCCTAAACTAGGTACCCCTATTCGGGAATACCCTCCACACGGGCAGCCCGGCCGGAAGAGAGCGCCGAGCTTGCCATGGCCTTGGGGGCCAATGTGAGGCCCACCCAAGCTTTCGGGTTGTTTGGGTTTAGGGTTTAGGGCTTAGGGCTTAGGGCTTCGGGGTTTGGGTTTAGGGTAGGGCTTAGGGTTAGGGGTTAGGGGTTAGGGTTAGGGGTTAGGGGTTAGGGGTTAGGGGTTAGGGTTTAGGGTTTAGGGTTTAGGGTTTAGGGTTTAGGGTTTAGGGTTTAGGGTTTAGGGTTTAGGGTTTAGGGTTTAGGGTTTAGGGTTTTGGGGTTCAGAGTTTAGGGCCACAACCAGGAACCTTCAAACACCCTCAAACCCCAAGCTCAAGTCTCACCCTACTTGGAGGGTTTCATGGGTAGTTCCGAGATACAAGTGTGACTAGCTCTTTTTCGACACACATGTGCGGCACTTGAGGCCCTTGAATCAACCGATTTCGGCCGAGGATCAGATCAAAGTCTGGAGTTGAGGATGCTTGGGGTGTGGAGCCTCCTAAACTCGTGACCCCTAACACCTTCTATGCACCTTGGCACTCTTGACTGCTGCCCGGAAATGCATTCAGTGAATCCTCTCCTCATTCTCACAATTCTCACTCTTGCTGCAGAGGAGACCGTAAGGCCCTGTACCGGGCACCTGGACTTTGCCGTGCTGCGTTAAAGGCGGGGCTTGAAGCCCGTTCCAAATCTTGGCGCTATTGGGACCCTCCCAATTCAAGACGAATAGCGGGGCATGATCCCCAACACATTGCGCAAACCCAATCTGCCGACGCATAACGAAAACCCTATCGAAAGCCCTGCGCGGGCCAAAGCCCTTCCAACGCCCCGAACCGAACCCTGCGCAACACCCTTCCTGCGACCCATTTCCACCAGGCAGCCGCAGACGAACCAAGCATTGCCGACTCAAGAGCCTGAAGTGTCGTGAAAGAGACATGAAGCGCTCGTGAAGAGCCATTTGTAGCAGGCGTATGGAGAGACGCAGGATCGGAATTCCCTAGAACGCTTGACCACCTTTTCCAGGCACCCATCATACGTTTGGACGAGGATAAGTTGTGAAGTTCCGAGCTTCCCCCCTCTTGGATGGTTTTGGGCACCACGGCTTGGGATGGAGCTTCGGTTAGGCCTGTCCTGATTGGAGCCGTGCGAGTAGTCGGGTGAGACTACTAGAGTTCAGAAGCGTCGGGCTTATGCGAACTGGGTGGCTTCTGGAAGCTATAGCGCCCAAGTATTGAACCGTCAAAAAATAAACGTGACAACTCGACTCTCAATCAAGGCTCGGCCAAAACACTCGGGCACTCAAGATCCCAAATCCCCAAACCCCAAAAAATGCCATCGGTCGGTAGCCAAGCCCGAACGAGGCCCCCAGCCACTGGAGGCAGCTTGGCCTTCATCTGCGGCACCTGAGCTTCACACTTTCAGCTTCACCGTATCGAGCTGCTTCGCTCCAGGGACATGTTGGAACCATAAGCCCGAAACCTAAGAGAAATTCTAATGCAGTGCTCCTTGTGAGGGTACCAGGCAGAGGGCTCACTGCGAGGACAGCGCCACAGTTGACTTAGCGAACTGATGCGGGCCTTGATGGACGAGAAGCTTGGTCCATGGTAGGTACTAGACAAGAACTCACTGCTGGATACTTTTCTTGGCATATATATATATATGACATTTTTTGTTTGTGTTTTGAAGTCCTTTCTTTGGAGTGGCTCAAATGATGCTTTTGGAGTCGACGTCATAAAAGGCAAAGCAGCTGAGCTGTTTGGGGCCAATCGACAAAAGGCAACTGCAGTTCATGGGACACATACGAACCTCCCACGCTTGTGCCACCCAAGCTCCGAAGTCAAACGTAACGTCGTCCCCCCACAGGGTTTAGGGTTTAGGGTTTCGGGTTTAGGGTTTCGGATTTAGAGTTTAGGGTTACATAAGCTATATTGTAGTATTGCAGGTCGATCAAGACGTTGAGCACAACATGGCTTCGGTCGAGCGATATGCATAGCTGGCCAACTTGGCCAGGACGGAAGCTTTTGACTGGTTCAGATCCAGACAATCATGAGCCCACGACGGTTTGCCAGAAGCGCTCCCGGTCCCACATGTAAAAGCACGAACACGATCCCAGGTCTCCTTTCCTACAGGAAGGTGCCTTATTCGTCACCACACCCGAGAAAGTGCAGCGTGATATAACAACATCATGCAAATGATCTCAGAGCCTACGAAGTGGTGTACGTGAACATGTCCTGACAGCTCGGCCTCTTACGGGTGGCTCGGTTGGAGACGGTCGCTCCGTTGGCACCGGCAGCTCGCTGGGAGACTGCGTCGCAGCCTCGTGGCGGTTTCGAGGCAGTGTTTGGCGTGCGGGGTCTGCTGGTCCTTCAGAAATGCTCACCGAATTTGCTCAAAGATCTTTGATTCTACGGCTTGTGACAGGGCTTCCACCAACCCCGTTGCACATGCGGCACACGCGCAGCAGTCGTGGCACTACTCGCAACTATGAAGTACCAACTATCAACTGCTTAACTACGAAGCTCCGTGCGCCTTATTTTCACTGGTCGTTTCGTGCGGTTACATCTTCGGATCTGTTGGCAGGTGCAGCACTTCGAACAGTGCACCTTTTCAGGCAGGGGCTTCCCGAACAACTTGATAGTCGTGAGTGTAACCAATCAGTGTTTTGCGCATGTTCACAAGGAGGCACGAATACTTGTGACAGCGCGTCTTGTTCCAGAAAAAAGTATCAGCATCCTGATGCAACGTGTCGCACAGAGACCTGCCCCCCCCCCACCCCAACAAACAAGGAAACAAAGAAACACGAGGAAAGCAAGTGCTACAGCCTCCCGCTACAGCCCAGCTTACGGAACATGGATCTAAGAAGCGCTGAGACAAAACCTACACACTCTAACCATGACAACCTAAACCCCTAAACCCTAAACCCTAAACCCTAAACCCTAAACCCTAAACCCTAAACCCTAAACCCTAAACCCTGCGACCCATGACTCTCCCTCATCTGCGCATCCCGTGTATTGAGCCCAGTACGGAGGATGACATCGCAGCGGCTGAGGAAAACTCCTGCAACCGGTTAATATAGGAGCCTTGATAAAGGCAATAGGGTTTAGGGTTTAGGGTTTAGGGTTTCGAGTTTAGGGTTTAGGGTTGGGGTACTCCCCCGTATCCTACCAGTCCTTAGTAGGGCTGATCATAGGGGGTACACGATAATGACTCTTAGTTTTCGTGGGAGAACATCCCAAGACAAGGGTTGAACTTGTGGAAAGAGATGACTGTCCAACCGCAAAAACCTCCCACTACGAGCTTATGTGCGCACCTCATGCGCCAAGGCCCGTACTTTCGAGACAGATGCCGCCTAATTCACAGAAAACGCGCCTGACCCCACAAATTCGGCACATCATGTTCTCCCAAAAGGAGTCCTCGCAAAAATCCAAATACATCCACACAGGGTATCTTGTGAAATCAGCAGTCTAGACCCAAAACCCCGAAGGCAGAGGGCCTGCGGTAGTGCAGAAGGGGCGCGAACCACCTGAACCACACGGTTGCGCTTCGGGCTTCCGCGGTTGCAGCTCTCCAAAGGGCTGCAGTTTGAAGGCTTCGAGGCTCGAGAGGTTAGACGGCGAGGAAGATTTTCCGTATGCCACCAACCCCTAAACCCTAAACCCTAAACCCTAAACCCTAAACCCTAAACCCTAAACCCATGAGCCTTCTTGAGTTGGACAGACTTCTCAGTCAAGAACCCGCATGGGTTGCAACTTGTGTTTGTGTTTGTCGGTGGACTGCCCGCCCATACTGATGGCACACATGCAGTCAACAAAATGCAAGACTTGATGCATACACACATGTATGTATATGCTGTATATATGTAGGACCCGTAGGGTCTATATGAGTCAGTAACCTGTTCGGGGGGTGGTATCAAGTGCAGGGTTTCTACTTCATCGATTTACTGATTTGGGAATAGACGAAATCCAACATCTGTAGGGATTTTCGGTTTCATCGCATTGTAATTGGTTCAGCTTTCCCAAGCACCAATACCTCAAAGCGATGTTCGATTTCATCAGCTTCGCTGATTTTAAAGCCGAAATCGACAATATGGTCTGAAACCAAGCAAAACCGACAAAACCGTCAATCGGTGGGGATCTCGAGTTCATCGATGCTAAAGCGTTTTACATCCTCCGAGAAACACATGCCTCAAGGCCATTTTCGATTTCATCGGCTTCATCGATTTCAAAACCGAGGAAGTCGATTTCATGAGCCTCATCTTTTTTTTATGCTTTTGGCTTTTCCCAGAAACAAACCCTCTCATGGGATAGGAAGACAAAAGAGGAGAAGAACAACATATTTTGAATAGGTTCTTTTCTCCGCCCTCCTTTCTTGCTTCCTGCCTCACGTCTCTTTCCCTCGCATTGTTCTGCTTCCCTTTCTTGTCAAAGTGGTGGAAGGGAGGCGCTCTTAACACCTGCAAAAGAATTGACCCAAGTGCGGCGATCCAGCTTTTCAGGTAAACATGTCATGTGTCGTCTTTGCACCTGTATGCATCATTGTGCAATGTTCCACGGGCATTAAGATGACGTATCAACTGTAGCAGTGTGGCATTTCTTCCCTGAGGGATCGCGGAAGGGAGAAGCAAAACAACAAAGTTTGGTGTGTGAATTATGGGGTATCGGATATGGGTGGGTGGTCAAAGGGTGTGTTCAGTATAAGAATCGGGGCAAATCCAGCCACATGGCGAGGGAGAGCGACATCGGACGGGATATCTGCTTCGGCTACCCGAAGCCGGATAGTGACAAATAAGGTAGATCACCTGTTCGCAGTGTTAGGTCAGGGCTCTTGAAGCTGGGGAGTCTGCAGACAAGCTTACGAATAAGATATTTGGCATTCAGGAAAAGAGAAGCTCTCTCATGTCTTAAGGATGGGACGAATTCTCCCGTCTCTTTTTCTATCCTGTCTTCCTTGTCTTCAACTCAACCTCACATCATTAGTGACTCATACCTGAAGGACAAAGCAAACCTCCTCTTGAATGGCCCCATCGAGTTCGGATATCTGGGTCAGATAAGGCCTCATACTTGAACCTGTACGACTCTGCTATAGGGGCCTGAATAATTAGAACAGGCTTCCGGGGGTCATTTAAGTATAATTATCAAGGGATCATAACGGAATATTACTAGTGATTTTTCCCTAAGCCCTAAACCCTAAACCCTAAACCCTGAACCCCTATGTTAAAAGTGCCGCCTCTGGCACCGCCCTGGCAAAGTGGGGCGAAGTGGGCGAAGGCATCTCAGTCGGGACCATGATAGCCACCTCCTGGCTTGGAACTAAGGGTTTTAGGGTTTCAGGGTTTTAGGGTTTTAGGGTTTTAGGGCTTTAGGGTTTTAGGGTTTAGGGTTTAGATGTGGGGTTTAGGGTTTAGGGTTTAGGGTGCAGGGTCGTGGTCCAAGCCGAGCCACAGGCAGCTGCATACACCCGAGCTCCCCTCTCCACTTAAAGCTGAACAGCTTACAAGCACTGGCAACCCCAAGCCCTAAGGCATTGGACATTACCGAACATCCTTCGACATTTTCTGCGTGGTGCCCGAAGCCCAGACCCCAAAGAATGCCCCGAAAGAACAGTATCAATCCGGCATTCCAAAACGCCTTAACATGCCATTAACCATGGTGCCACTCTCAATGCTGTATGATGGAAGGTACTACATAGCCCCTGCCCCTGAATTTCTGTAGCCCTGTAGAGCCCAAATTTATATGACTTGTCGCCCGCACCTGCAAGGTTGTTGGGCTGAGGGTTTCCCTGAAACGTTCGTCCTTCCCCACCACTTGAATCTACCAAGGTTCATCGCTTGAACTGCAAGTGGCAAGAACACTGCGGAACAGCAAACACCCACTCCCAAGCAAAGTCTTAAACCTACACATCAAATCGAGCACCCTGCAGTGTCAACAACCCTAAACCCTAAACCCTAAACCCTAGACCCTCGTCAAAAATTGCGCCGGGCAAGCTGTGGGCGAGGCTCGCGGCCTGTCGGGTGACGGCGACAAGAATCTTCTCAACCCTGGACCCTGGTATCTTATACTTGGTTGCTGAGTTCATAAGCCCCAAAAAAGTGTAAACTTTCAGTTTGAAAAGGGGATTATAGTATCCCAAAAAGTGTAAAGTGTGCCCACTCAGCTACTAAGTATAAAGGCTTGTGACCTCTTTATCTGCTACTCTTATACCTTAAAATAGCTACTAGATACCCCAATAACCCCAATAAGAACACGTACCCCCATAAAAACAAACCCTACTTAACGAGACCACCAGTCCATATAATAACAGATATCTCATAAAGCCCACTGGCCCCAAAGACTGAATGCTTTTAACTCTATAGATTGGGATGTTCCCCCTTATACTACAAGTCCTTACTAGGGATTTATAGTAGGGGGGGGGTACTACAATCCCTCATAAGGACTGTGATTATAAGGGGAACATCCCAATCTATAGACCCAAAACCCTAAACCCTAATCCCCTAAACCCTAAACCCTAAACCCCCAATCGTGTCCCGGCCGTCCCAGCCCCCTTGACTCTCCCAAAGGCTCACAGCGATGCCCAGCCTTGCAGCCGCCTGCTCGGACGGCTCGGACGCGTTGAGGGCTTCGGGTTTAGGGTTTAGGGTTTAGGGTTTAGGGTTTAGGGTTACAAGCTCGGTTCTTTCGGGTATTCGACTCGCAGGGCCGGGGCTTGCAGCATGGGACTCATGGTATTCCAGCTTTCCGGGCGGATGCTGCGCACGAGCGCTTCCGTCGTTTAGGGTTTAGGGTTTAGGGTTTAGGGTTTAGGGTTTAGGGTTTAGGGTTTAGGGTTTAGGGTTTAGGGTTTAGGGTTTAGGGTTTAGGGTTTAGGGTTTAGGGTTTAGGGTTTAGGGTTTAGGGTTAGGGTTTATTTTTGAAACTTTTAATTGCTTGGTTGTCTGCAGCGGTCAAGGCCGTGGTATGCCGTGGTAGATGACCGGGTCGTCGGAAAAAGGTAGGAAGAGCACGTGTAGAGTGTGACAGAGCTCTGACAGAGTTGCTTGGAAGACTCTGCGAAGCCAAAGCACGAGAGCCCGAAAGTTCTTGACTGAAGTCTTGTTTGGCTAAGGAAGGCTTTCTCCGAGCTTCATGACTGAGGGGTTCAGCACAGACACATACACCCCAAGCAAACTTTAATCCCTCCTCTTTCTTGGGTGGAGGTTGGAGTATGGAGGCGTGGTTTATTCAGAGTCAAGGCTTCATGGCTTGGGGCTTGGAGTCATGCTTCCTTGAAGCCGAGCTAAGGCTACTACCCAAGAAAATTCAGCAAATTCTTTTGCAAAGGCTTGGCACCCAGTGAATGACTTAGCACGTTGGAAAGGTTCTGCGCCCCGAAGCCCCCCCAAAGGCCCGGAACCCTTCGAATGCTCTCACACTTGTCGATTGCACCTGTCCACTCACTCCCAAAACACCAGGCTTCAAACTGAAGAGCGAAAGTCAAGGCACCTCGTCCTCGGAGTCTGCCACAGGTACTGGCAGCTCCTTGGCGGGCATGAGCAACGAGGAGGAACGAGGAGGCCCCTGATCTAGCGAGAGGCTAGACCAGGCAAGTTGGAACTAAGACTCCCCTGTGAAGTCGGAACCCCAGCCGGCCTGCCGTGAAAAGGAGCGGTGGCTTCTCAACCCATCACAAGCCGACAACGCTTCAGGTCCGAACATGAGCTCTCCCAATAAGTTGGACACCCAACGCTCGCGCCAACGCGCTTTCAGGCTAGGCAGCGGGAGCTACGACCTGGAACCCGCGTAACACTCGAGGGCTCCACCGACGGAGACGACCCAACAGCAGACCTTGGGGACTCAAAGGCTTTTGCCATTAGGGTTTAGGGTTTAGGGTTTAGGGTTTAGGCTTTAGGCTTTAGGGTTTAGGGTTTAGGGCCATAATTTGCCAGATCAAGTCTTGGGGGCTTTCAGGTCTGGTCCGAGATCAAGGTGGATTTGCCTGTGAGGGTGTTGATGATTGACAGCGTAGAGGGGATCTCTTCCGTGAACAGATGTACCCTCGACTTGACTCAGATGACAACCAACCCACCTTTATGCAGTTGCCAAGCCCTGGTCGCTGTGCCAAAATGTACGGGCGCACGAGCAACCTTCAACCCTAAACCCTAAACCCCTAAACCCTAAACCGCCTGCGATGTTCCTACGGCAGTCTGCAGCCTCAGGCTACCTTGCAACAAGACCTGAACGGCGTGTCATGGCCCAGCTAGTCCGAGCCGTTGGCGACGACATGGGCGCAGACTCCGGCATGGGCGGCGGGAAGTCTGCATCGGGCGGCCTTAGACAGCACCAAAGGTGAATTTTGACTCGGTATTCGGGTATGTCGCAATCGTTGGATCAGAGTCCGAGGCTTTCTCTCCATCAGAGAACAAAGCTGACCGCAACGAAGGTCAAGAAACCGAGTTTATTTTCACTCTCGTCTGGGATTTGAAGGCTAGTGATGGAGGTACCTGAGCCCACGGCCAGGCTCAATCCTTTACAAAATCACCATAAGGAAAACTAATTACATTTTTCCGCCAGCTTCAGGAGGTCACTTCATCCATCGCGCAAGCGTGGTATTTTGTTCTAGACTGCTTCGCGACTGCACAGCCGCCATGCAATGAAGCTACACACCTTCGTGTCGTGGGTACGACCTGGGGGGAACTGCGGCTTTATTTTCGATGTCGCCAACGAGCAACAAGAATCGCTCGTGCGTGGGCGGCTAATGGACTGTAGTTTGCTTCTTTCCGGAACATTTCCAAGGATATGATGGTTCATTCTCGCGTCTCTTGCTGCAACAGCTTCATGCTGACCTCCCTTTACACCACACAGAACTGTTGCCCAATCAAAAACAAAATCCTTGAGCCTTCAAACCAAGAAACCTCCGTCGAACCTTCCACTCCTTCCCCACTCCCAGCATGGGTTATAGGGTAGAATCGTCCCTCTTTAAGGGGTTATAGGGTATAATCGCCCGGGTTTAGGGTTAGGGTTTAGGGTTTAGGGTTTAGGGTTTAGGGTTTAGGGTTTAGGGTTTAGGGTTTAGGGTTTAGGGTTTAGGGTTTAGGGTTTAGGGTTTAGGGTTTAGGGTTTAGGGTTTAGGGTTTAGGGTTTAGGGCGGTGAGAGGGTAGAATAGCCCATGCTGGTCTGCTTCTGGGCCTCTCACGCTTCTTCCACAAGGGCTGGTGCCAGGGTTGGTGCCACCGGCGGCTCGGCCTCGAAAGGGGGAGGTTTAGGGTTTAGGGTTTAGGGTTTAGGGTTTAGGGTTTAGGGTTTAGGGTTTAGGGTTTAGGGTTTAGGGTTTAGGGTTTAGGGTATAGGGTTTAGGGTTTAGGGTTTAAGGGTTTAGGGTTTAGGGTTTAGGGTTCTGGCCAGTAAAGCCTAACCGGCCACTGCTTCGACCCACGAAGCCTAAACTTTGGGATGTTCCCCCTTATACTAACAGTCCTCAATAGGGATTATAATAGGGGGTATGATAATCCCCATTAAGGAGTCTTGGTATAAGGGGGAACATCTCAACCCAAACTCCACAAACTGAAAATCAAAGAGGTCTTCCCTGGGCCGCGCTACGATGTACCCTTAAGCTTGGGCACTCTCAGGTATCTTTTCTAAAGACCCCTTGGGGAACTTCTCAGTAACGAAAACAACACAAACACACACTCATCTTTATGAAGCCTTAACCACAACTCAATCCGGCCACGGCGGATGCACAAGCAAAACTTTGCGTTATGGCCGGCACTAGCCCACAGCACAGGGGTAAACACGAACGAATCAAATCAGGCTAACAACATGATGTTAACAGCACGTTGCGGCCACTCAGCTGCTTGACAAAATCTCAGGGCACTTACGTGGTCCTTTATTATGGGCCCTTAAATAGGAACCCCTTATAGAACACAGAGACGCTAAGACCACTCCCTCTTAACCTCAACGCAAATGCCTCTTCCTCATCTGTCTCTGCGATGTGCGCCGCCTCCCCAGCCGCAGACCTTTGCACTCCCCAGGCTCGTCACTTCAACTCCACGGGCCCCTTTGAAATCCAAAAAAAAATCGGCTACAACGATAACATACCACAGGCTCCACCCTTTCCTCGAACACAGCTGCAACTCCAATGGGGGCTCCACATCATCTACCTCCCAAGCCCTGCAGTCGACACAACAACAACAACAACGAACTTCAAACGCAGCTGGGTTTCAATTAAGGGCTCTTCGAAAGATCTGAAATCCTCAAGCCACTGCACTACATGTCCCTTGGGGCGGCGACGTCGGAGAGGGAACATCCGTTGGCACCTCGCTTTTTGAGGGAGGGTTTAGGGTTTAGGGTTTAGGGTTTAGGGTTCAGGGTTCAGGGTTTAGGGTTTCGGGTTTAGGGTTTAGGGTTTAGGGTTTAGGATTAGGGTTTAGGGTCTCGTCTTCTTGGCCGAGGCAAGGGTTCCAGGATAGTTGTTTGGGTACTGAGGGCCCCCCAGCCCCAAGCCCCAAGCTCTCAATCGTCAGCCTAGCAGCCCGTGATCCTAAAAGCCTACTACCCTGAACCCTAAACCCTAAACCCTAAACCCTAAACCCTAAACCCTAGTCTTACATGACGAACTCCTAGAGACAATTCGTTGTGTTGGCCGCCTGTGTTTTGTCAACATGACAGCCGAACCCAAGTAAACCGAGTTAGCTCGGGGCAGGACTGGCATGTCAGTTGGTGATCGTGGCAGAGGACCAGAGTCAGACCTGCAAGCGAAGGAAGCCACACAGGCTAGCAACTCGCACATGTTCACAAGCTGGTGTTGGAATGGTTTGCAGGCTTGCAGGCTAGCAGCCCGCACTTGCTTAAGAATTGAACAGCTTATGTTGGAAGGACTTTGCACGGGTGCGGGCCAGCAACCCACCAGAGATGGTAAGAGCTTGTGTTTGGAGGGTTTTGAAGGCATGCGGGCCAGCAAGCCACACTTGCTTACTTGTGTCGGAAGGGTTTGGCAGGTGTGCAGGCCAGCAACCACGCGGAATGCCCCCGCGCATACGTCTGGGTCTCTCGCATCGCGGCGCTCCCAGCCACAGCTGATTCTTCAGGTCCCGGAACCTGCACAGCATTTAGGGTTTAGGGTTTAGGGTTTAGGGCCCTAAACCCTAAACCCTAAATCTTGAACCCTAAACCCTAAACCTACTGATGGGTGTCGCATGGTATCGCTGTGCAAGGAATCTTGAGAGGGAAAGTATGACGACAACACTATAGCCGTTCGAAGTTTCTGAACACTTTCTTAAACTGCCCTTCATCTTGCACATCACATTGACATGTAGATACTAGGATTACACTTGAAATTCGGGTTGTTTGGTTTGGGGGGGGGGGGGGCGCGGGAGTGGGCTTTTGGAAGGATCGGCCTCACATAGATCCCACCCTGCTGAGGCCGAGCACTGGGTGAACAGGATAGTTGGCCTTTGCCCCCCCGGGCCCCTTTCAAGGCTTTTGAGGGCTCTTGTAACCCTAAACCCTAAACCGGAAACTTACGGCTGAAGACTGCGATCCGCTGTTTGAGGTGGTCGGAGGTTGAGGGGATTCAGAGGAGAAGGGCGGCCGCCCAGGGTTTTTTGCCCATTTTGGGATTTCTCACTGAGTTCCAGGCATCCATCTGAGCAGACAGGGCCGCCGACTCCAAAGCAGCCTGGGGCCCCCCAACAACTTAAACCTTCAGTCTCAGAATTTTCCGAGAGTCACGGCTACTGCACAATCTAGTCTGCGATGTGGGGAATTCTACACTTCCTGGGGCTTCCTAGTGCTGGTAGGCGCGAGGAAGTGCCTGAGTTCTGGAGGAGCACACAGCCTAGGCCATGCCTTGTGGTTGAAAGAATCGCTGAGCACGAGCCACTCGACCCCTGAACTCGAAACGAAAACGCACCCTTACTTGAAGTTTCGTCCCCCAACACCCAGCGACCTTGCAAGAGAAGGCTTTCAACAGTACCGAGTTCATGGTTGGGATAGTAATAAAAAAACAAGTCTATTCCTTATTGAGTTTAAGTACCCTGTAAAAATGTAAATAGTACCCCACAATGTCTATTCCTTATTGAGTTTCAGTACTCTTGAAGATGCAAAATCTTACCCCACTATGACAAAGGTACTAACCCCCAGAGGACGGAGATGGTAGCCGCTGATGGCCTCGAAGGCCGGGGCCACCAGCGTCTTCGTGGGCCTCGGAAGGGTCTGGCGCGTTGCTCAAACATGAGGTTTCGGGTTTAGGGTTTAGGGTTTCAGGGTTCAGGGTTCAGGGTTCAGGGTTTAGGGTTTAGGGTTTAGGGTTTAGGGACTTTGGAGACTTGAGGGGTTTACGAAAACAGGGGACCCCCCAATGGAGATCCCAAAATCGAAAGATTCTTCTAGAATGGAGACCTCAACAAGGTACCCCTCATCTCGGAAACCCCACTTGAGTGTTTCGGTTCTTTGGGGTTCTGACACTTGAGGCGTCACGGCTCAGCGCTGGGGATTTCAGGGCCTACAGCAGCTTGTACTTCAAGAGTTGGTGGCTGATCTGTGGGATTCTAGGGGGGTTGGGGCTTCAGGTTAGAGCTTCTAGGGATTGGGGGCTTCGTGGTTTGAAGTTTGGGTGATCGAGCTGTGTACTTAGCGCGCAGGCACTGGGTGCCAGGCTGCTTGGAATTAGTTCCGGAGTTGTGCTTTACGAAACATTGGGAGTCTTCAACTGCTGTGTGTAGTGCGAATGCGAATCAATGCCGAGGAGATTCAAGCTCGGGCACCTCCATGTCAGTTCTTCAAGCATGCCTAACATGCTGTGAGAGCACAGCACCTGCTGATACGAAACAAACAGATTGCAAACATGATCTCTTACTAGGCGACCAACAAACCTATCACAAACCTCGTTAAACTTGGCCCGGCATACCCTAAACCCTAACCCTAAACCCTATGGGGTCTCCACGGGGGCGCTGTGTCCGCAACGATCGTATCCGCCTGTCATCGCAGGTTGGATCGTTGGCGCGATGGGGAGTCAGAGGCTTGATAAAAGAACCTGAGAGAACTCTGTTAGTAGAAGGGGGAACATTCCAAGCGCCATCCATCTAAAGCAGCCCAGCTGCCAGCTTTAGGAAGCCATATGAAAAGAGCCTTAAGGGAGCCAACAAGGAGCCACGGGGGGTTTAGGGTTTAGGGTTTAGGGTTTTTTCGTTTAGGGTTTAGGGTTTAGGGTTTGGGGTTTAGCGCCACCACCCGGAGGCATGAAGGAGGTTCCGCCCCGTCCCCCCCCCCCAGCCGCGACAAATGGCTCTGTTATGTTTGGATTTTAGGAAACCAACAATCTTAAAGTGTTGTGTGTTTTTGTTTGATCTTTGTGTGTTAGGTTAGAACTTGATGTGGTCGCTACTGCAAGACATATCAACTTCTTCAAACAACCTTGTTCTGTGTGCTGTGAAAGTTTGGTGCGCGTTGCAGTTTCGCACTGCAATTACGCAGCCTCTCCCATCTGACGATGGATCAACGCTCGTTCGAAGGTCAATTGTGCAGGCTGCGTGGAGCACAACTTTTCTGGCCTTGCTGCTAGCACTACCATAAACTCGAGAACCGAACTGTCCGTACTACTCTTGCGAGAAATTATTTGTGTAGTGCTGGGTCGCGACTACTTTGTAGCTTTTCGTCCATTTTGGTCACAGTCGTGGCATGTGTGTCGTCGACAGCTAGCTAGACGGGACAGGCCAAACACCTGTACACACACCCCTTCAATTCAAACGTATATTATGTGTATTGGGTAGTTCGTATGATAATTTTGTCAGGACTCGGACATCGTAGTGATGTCAGTAATCATGTGGCCTGCTGTACGATTAGCGGGCCTCCTCCTGCTGTGGCCCGTGCGGCGAGGTGGGCGATGGAACTTCGGTCGGCACCGGCATTTCCTGTCATGAGAAGGTGCCCTGTACACTGCTGTACACTGCTGTGGGTTTAGGAGTTTCTAAGCAGCATAGGATCAGCTAGCTGACCTTAAGATGGGCTGCAAACCTACTTACCGAAGGGATGGCATTGTATTGCCCAGGCAGTATGCATAGGCAAGGTCGTAGAATATGCAACCCAAACACCGACATGTGGTATTGGCAACCCTGTGCAGTGTTGAAGAAAGAGTGCATTGTCAGAAAAGGTGGGCGGGGGTGGGAGTGGTAGGTGGTGGTGGGCGGCGGTGGCTGGCGGTGGCTGGCAGTGGGTGGCGGTGGGTGGTGGTGGTGGTGGTTGGTGGTGGATGGGTGGTGGTGGGTGGTGGTGGTTGGTGGTGGATGGGTGGGTGGTGGTGGGGTGGTGGTGGGGGTGTGGTGGGTGGTGGTGGGTGGTGTGGGTGGGTGGTGGTGGGGGTGGTGGGTGGGTGGTGGTGGTGGGTGGTGGTGGGGGAGGCGGGTGGTGGTGGGTGGTGGTGGGTGGGTAGGTGGGGGGTAGGTGGGGGGGGGGGGGGGGGGGGGGGGGGGGGGGGGGGGTGGTGGGTGGTGGTGCGTGGTGGTGGCATCTGTGTAACCTGAATGAGGGGTCACCCGTGTCCAATGTGGGCTCATGAAACCGTACCGTGAAGGTTCTGCAGCTCTGCAACTCTTCGTTTCGCATGGCTTCCACTTCGACTGAACCTAACTTTGCCAAAAGCGCTCCGGCGCACTTAGTTTCGATGCGTTGCGCTTCAGACAACGTGTCTGAACCACACCTAACAAGCGCATGCAATCATTGAACATACAGCAAAAGAACGGTCACCGTGGTGACGAATGTGAGCCGCTTCGTTGCAAAGAACAAAAGAAGCACCAACTGCCCAACCTCGACTACAAGCTCAAACCCAAGCTCCAAATCACCCTCCATCCTAACACTAAAAGTCGCTATGAAGCCCAAAAGAAGGCATCCGCCAATATGGATCCCCAAAGAGTAGGATCCCCTTAACATGAAGACTCACAAAACGCTACTTAGCCCAACAAAAGCATGCAAAATCTGCGGAGACCAGCCATTGACCGGCAAGCTGTTGGAAGCTGGCCCGAGTGACCGTGGGTGAACCCTGCATGGCACTGCTGCTCGCCATCCTGTAGCAGGCGAAATCAAAACCTGCCTGACTGATATGAGGGGTTTCCGAAACTCGGGGTGCCTTATTGGGGGGGTCCTTGCTATAAGGGGATCCGACTATTTGTGAATCCATACTTCGGTCCCTTGTATGCATAAACCCCCAATATGTTACGGTGTCCTGCCTCTTTTACACATGTATGTCGCGGCACCCCCTTGTTTCATACGCATGGCGGACTTACAAGCCCTACGTCGCAACGAAAGGCTCTGTGCCTGTTACGCGCCCTCCTGGGCTTGTGACTCACAGCCGTTTGAAAGCATACGAGTACAACTTTTTTCGGGGCTTGCCACCCTAACCTTTAGCCCTAAAACACATGTTAAACTGAAGCGGCTATTTCGGGATTCAGGATGGGATCTGTGAGGGCTTTAGAGTTCGGGCTGGACGATACCAGCACTCGTCAAAGGTAGATGCCGCTGCTGTGCAAATCCGTGAGTGAGTGTGCTGCCTTGGCCTAGCTCAGGAAAGCTTAGGATGCAGAACTCACACCTTCCTTCCATCGGGCCCTGCCCTTTGTCATATTCCCAGAGAGCCCCAAGACCCCTTAGTTAAGGAATATGGGCATGAAATGTGTTCAGGGATCCTTATTATGGTTTAAGGAACTTTTCCCTAATCAAGGGGCTCTTGGGGCTCTTTGGGTTCTGCAATTGTGTCAAGCCTCCCAGCACAAGAGACCACACAAGTCTGAAATCCTGTGGGCCTGTGTGATGACGGATGGCGTTAGCTTGGTGTTGTGCGTTCATCCTTTGTGAGGGTTCACGTTCATTCAAGGAATGATGTAAGCGCTCGTCGATTCATCTTGGTCGAGCGATGAAGCCGAGAATACGTTTCACTTCGTTCTTGCATCGAATGAGATGGAGCTACTAAGATAGAGTGCACCGGAGAACGTTGAGCTACTCATATCGGGTAAGTCACCAAACCGTAGCCAAAGACTGCACGGCGTACCCAGTCTGAAGCTCCGTCCGAAGACCGGAGTCCGCAGGAGACAGAGACCAAAAAAGACTGTGGGTATTGACAATCCTGTACAAATCGCAAAGAACTCTCCGGGCCCTGGACTGTTGAGAAGCTGACACCTGAAAAGGAGCAAAATGTGAGGTTTGAGGGCAAGGGTGTACAGCACTGTTTGAGGCTTGATAGCTCGGGGTCCAGAACCTTGCCCAGGCTTAAGACGCCGAGCACAGGAAGATTCTGCAAGGATCTTCGCCAACATCCATCCTATGTGGCCAACATCCATCCTATGTGGCCAACATCCATCCTATGTGGCCCTGAGAGCCCTATTTGCACAAAGGTTGAGGGTGGCGCTGACGGAATAGCTGCCAAAACCAAATGGCTGCAAGTGACGGAGCGCGGAACTAAGAATACCCTGAGCCATTTGCCCCTAACCCTTAAACCCTAAACCCTAAACCCTAAACTCCTAAACCCTGAACCCAAACTCGGCACCCCGACATCCATAAGGCCGTGTGGAATGCTCCTTCGCGTCATGGTTGGCACCTGACAGAACTTGACTGACAGATGTTTTAGGGTTTAGGGTTTAGGGACCCAGAACCCAGAGAGCCCAATACCCCTTGAGCTTAACTTATAGAGGGATCCTGATTCTAGATTTAAGGAAGATTGATTCATTAAGGGGTATTGGGCTCTTTGGGAAATATGTTACAGCTTTCTTCAGGGATGCCTGATAGAGCTTCGAATTGCAGCTTCGTTTAAGGTAGATACCGTTTAGGGTTTAGGGTTTAGGGTTTAGGGTTTAGGGTTTAGGGTTTAGGGTTTAGGGTTTAGGGTTCAGGTTGCTAATTAAATCCCTGCAGGAAAATCGCTCGCGCTGGGGGGCGCATTTTGTTTATGCTGTCGTGGCGGGGGCGCGTTTTTGTTGGCTGTCGTGGCGGGGACAGGAGCTCAGCTCATAACTTCGATCTGAGACGCACTCGTACCCGGTTACCCGACACCCGAAACCCTAACACTAAACCCTAAACCCCAAACCCAACCACCCGAATCCTAACCTCCTGAACCCTAACCTCCTGAACCCTAACCTCCTGAACCCTAAACCCTAAACCCTAAATCCTAGACCCCGAAAAAGGGGTTTGCAGGGAGGCCTCCAGAGTCGCCTCCAGGGTGGGGGCGCCCAAAGTGCTCGTAGGCCTCTGCTGAAAACACGGTGCTTCCAAGGGCCTCGAGGGTTTAGGGTTCAGGGTTTGGGGTATATAGGGTTTAGGGTTTAGGATTTAGGATTTGGGGTTTATTTTAGGGTTTAGGGGTACATAGGGCCTATAGGCCCACGGGTGTTGAAGCAATTCTTGGGACTAGACTTGCAGATGACGGCTTGCTTTTGTTCGTGACTGGGTCGTTTCACGGTGTCCTGGGCCTTTCGCTTCAAGAACCACTCCAAAGAAAATCAAAACGTTTAAAAACATTGCGAACTTCAGCTTGGGCTCCTGGTTTTTCAGGGAATGCAGCGGTCTAGGGTTGAGGGCTTGACCGTTCATGGCTATTGGGGTTGTTGGTGTCTTGAAGTGCATATGGTCGTGCGAGAGAAGTCATGCCGGTGCTTAGGTTACATCAGGAGGGTTGACATCTTGTTCGTCCTTGACATGTGCTGCTAGCATCTGTGACCTTGACATACCTTGACATGCCGAGATGAGCAGCAGCTGCACGGATTTGCGCAGTTTTCGTGGCCGGGCGTGGGTCACAGGTTGCAGCAGCGTAGTTGCGGCGCCGTTGTATCCGCGAAGGGCGCGCCGCGGTTTTGATGAGATGAACTTCTCAGAGCTGTAAGGCCCTTCTGAGTGGATGTTGCCATCCTCGTGGCTGTCGCCCTCCTCGGGGCTGTCGTCACTCCATGCAAAACACGAGCCACGTCCGACACCAGAGCCATGCTGGCTTCGTAAAAGTTCGCTTTTCAAGCACTTGCGATTCACTGAGACCTAGGTCTGGCTCAACGCCACGAACCATACAGCTCTACAAAAGACACACTCACACTCACACTCACACTCACACTCACACTCACACTCACACTCACACTCACACACACACACACACACACACACACCCACACCCACACCCACACCCACACCCTTGAAAGCGTTCATCCTGTAAACCCTCCACATTGACGTGGCAGCCAAGGAAGCCAGGAGCTAGCTGGGATGACTATGCGCTGGCCATGCGCAACCCACCAGGGCTTGGACGGAAGGGCTGTCTCAGTCAACAGGGTGTCCTGCTAAGATAGGTATGTTCATGCGGAGCTTCATCTTTTTTAAGACTTTGCCGGAGCTTTGAGGGCTTTCTTGCAGCTCCAGTTCCAGCATACGTGTGCAGAAGCGATGCATAGCTCTCCAAAACCCGAAACCCGAAACCCTAGACCCTGAACCCCTAAACCCTAAACCCTAAACCCTGAACCCGATGGCATAACCTGGAATGTATCGCAGCAGTACTGCCCCTGAGACACCTGAGCACCTATCCCTCAAATCCTAGACCACCCAGCTCTCCACAAGCAACCCCTGAAAGGCTCTCCTGGTATGTTGTGCAGTTTTTTGTCCCTTCACCCTAAACCCCTAACCTCCTAAACCCCCCCTAAACCCCTAAACCCTAAACCCCTAAACCCCTAAACCCCTAAACCCCTAAACCCCTAAACCCCTAAACCCCTAAACCCCTAAACCCCTAAACCCTAAACCCTAAACCCCTAAACCCTAAACCCCTAAACCCCTAAACCCTAGCACCCCTCTGCAGTCCTCGTCGTCACCGCCGGGGGACGTCGGCGATGGCATTTCTGTGGGGACCGGCATCTCCTGGTTGCAGGGCGATTTAGGGTTTAGGGTTTAGGGTTTAGGGTTTAGGGTTTAGGGTTTAGGGTTTAGGGTTTAGGGTTTAGGGTTTAGGGGGATCTCCTCCTTCATCAGGGTTTTGGAGGTGTCAGAGCAGAACACGTGCTCTCAAAAGTGGCTTCAACTCCCCGATGCGGAAACTCGCCAACAAACCGACTCTCTGTGCGCACCGTTGGTGAATCCGGCGGCGCGCTGCTGCTCATCATCCTGAGTCGAGCATCGGAGGAAGGCGTTGTGTCATGGCTTTGCAGTCTATTGTGTGCCTGCCCTATCGGCCGTCATGCCAAATTTTTGGAGCGAAGGAAATTATGAGGCTGACCGTGGAAACGAAAGCCTTAAGCTGCGGACACCTGTGACTCTGGCGCCTGTGCTGCAAGCTCCAGGAGTAGAAGATGCATAACCGAAGAAAGAAGACCCCAAAACAAACATACTAAACCCTACACAGCATACAGCAAGGCTTAGCATTCTGTTATGACTTCAGACAGAGCGGCGTCAAATTAGGGCCTTCATTGGGCTTTGGGAGAGTAGGAATGCACCATATCATGCGCCCCACAAATACCCACTACACATGTCCCATACGAATGACACACGCAAACCCTAGTGGTCCGGAATGACAGCCAAAGGGCTGTTACGCCTCTGGACAACCAGAGCCTCCTGAACCTGCTGCGCTACCGCTTCGACCCTCTACAGCTGCCCCATGCACCACCCACAAATCCTGCAGTGCGCACACCTGCACAGCAGCAACACCTGCACAGCAGCAAGACAAAAAGCGAGCAAATCCTGGACGGCCCTATAGCAAACCGCTGTAGAGAAACCAAGAACCTCCCAGCTTCGGCCTGGAACTGTGGTGCGAGTGCTGTCTGTGTTGGCCTGGTGGGGTGTGAGACGGGTGGTGTGGTCTACGCTTTGAGTGCCATCGCTGCAATCACTGCAATAGACTGCACTCATTCTACCGACCTTGGGTTTGCCTAACTGGAGCACTTGGCTTGCACAGGGGCCCGATATCCTAAGCCCGAAGCACCGGACGTCCCGAACATCTCAACGAAAAGTGGAGAACTATAAACTTTATAGTGTAAAGACGATGCCCGGGGGCCTCTCAAGGTTTCTAGGCGGGGGTTTGGCGCAGGTTTGTCGAGACGCTAGGCGCAACGCAGCCCTTGCTGACAACGCCCTGAGCACCCGGGCAGAATAGTTTCGGACAACGTGATCGTGGCCTTGTCAGGTGCAAGGCATGGAGGGATCGTAGAGGGCTGAGGGTCGTGCAGTGGTCTTCCGGTTGAGGGTCTCAGTAACGCGGGCTTGGGGTCTTGGGTTTCGGCCCACGAAACGGCAGACCTCGTCACCAAGAAGTGCCGCACAACCCACCTCTTCAGTTCGACCCAGCCTAAACCGAAGCGCGCCTCGAGGTCCTCACTGGGCCGCGCTGGTGAGGGCATCTCTGTTGGCACTGGCATATCCTGCAATCGACGAGGAACTGTACTGAAGGGCCCTTTGCGGAAGTGCTTTGTGCGTTGCAACCATCAACCACCCCGCGAACCCAATCGAGCTTCAAGTTTCAAAGCGAGACTCAAACCATCCCTGTCCATATCCCAAAGCCAAGATTCAAGGCAAGATTCAATCCCTGGCTGTGGGATGACCCTCTGTGATGACGGATTGCGACCAACACAGAACCTTGAGCAAGTGGACTCCAACTTCAAGCCCGAAGGCCTGAAGACTACTTGCATCTACTTGCCGAAGAGCTTAAGCCATGTCGGTTCTCCAGCAGCAGCGCACACCACGAAGCAACCTTCCCTTCCGCGCAACTCAGAAGAGCAAGAAGCACCGCTCCGTAGGCGACCCGGTGATTGCGCTGCTGCTCATCATCCTAAGTTTCAGGATTGCGGCTTAAGGGTTTAGGGTTTAGGTTTAGGTTGAGGGTTTGAATCCCAATCTCCAGCCCAGGCTGAGGCTTGACGGTGTTTAGGGCCTTGAAGCTCTACCAGGCCGGCTTTATCAGTTTAGAGGGGGAAGCTTGGGGGGTTGGCTTTCAAAGGTAGAAGAACTTATTGAGGGTATATTTTCCCTGCAAAAGACGAAACATAAAGGGGAGCCTAGAAACATCGCAACCCCTGTAGACGGGCTAAGGGGGCTCAGGACTTTGAAGCAAATTTGTTGCGATCGGACTCCAACTTTATGCGTGAAGCTGGAGAATGGGTGGGGAGAGGAGCGAGCCCTTGATGCGCCATGACACAGGTGGGTGAGCAAGTGCATGGTTGAGAGCATGAGTGCCTGAGCGAGAAAGAACGTGCCCAGGTGCGTGAGTGTGAGACCCGGCCAGTTATTGAGCAAAAGGAGTGGAGCGTGAATGATAAAACAGATGCGCATGAAAGAGTGAACAGAGAGGAAAGGTGGCTGCGCGTCCAGCATCGAGGGTGGTCCCTGAGGCGCAGGGAATCTCACGTCCTGCCGCAACCCCGAGCCCCGAAGAAACTTAACACGTTCCGAATACGCCCAAAGCCCCACGCCATAAGGTTCCTAAACCCTAAACCCTAAACCCTAAACCCTAAACCCTAAACCCGGTGGCACATGGCTACCAATATCCTGAACCCCAAAACCGTCCGATGGTCTGAGCCCGCTGCTGCGATGAAAGAGCCGCTGAAGCCTCAACAGACCCAGAGAGCCCAATACCCCTTAATTAAGGAAATATGGCCTTAAATTCTAAAGGGATCCTTATTATGATTTAAGGAATATTCCTTAATTAAGGGGTATTGGGCTCTTTGGGAAAAGGACAGCAACAGGGTCTCGGATGGGCGACGGGCTTTCAGGTCGTAAGAAGTGCCCTTTCAACGTGTGGCATCAGCTTGGTCCCCATGCAAGGATGTGCCGCAGAAGAAGCAGGTTTCTACGGGTTTTCGAGGGTGGGCATCCCAGCCCCCTCTTGAAGCCTTCTGGGGCCTCCAGAATCTGAGGGATGTTGAGGGATTTGGAGGTTGCAGGTATGGGTTTGTCCAGGAAGGCGTTGAAGCTGCCCTAGGGCCTGGGAGTGCAGGTTTCAGCCTTGGGCGCCCAAGACTGGAGTTGATGTTTCAAAGGTGAATGAGATGAGTTAAGGCAATCTAGATCGACTGACGTTAGTCAACGTTCCTGCACTGATGCTGCTTTACCTGATCTTAAGATTTTGCTCACACACATGTCACATGCCGTTGACCTTAGATTCGAATAACCTAACCCCAAGTGGCGTCTTTTGAAGAAATCCTTGCTTACAACAGCAATGACAGCGGAACATTTCACTGCGGTCTATACAGTGAAAATCGTCAGAGCAATCATGATGATAAGCGTGCAAAAAGACAGAATGACGACAACAAACACAATCGTACTATATCACAATCATACGAATCAACAAAATGACCATCATCCTAATCGCTAAACTAAGCATACTCATAATGATAACAACATTCACAACAAGAACAAACAAATTCAAGCAGGCTTGCGTACAAAATGTACCCCTGATTGCACATGGGAGCTAAGCCGCTACAGTCGCAAACGACTGGACATGGGCTGGGTTTAGGGTTTAAGGCTTAGGCTTTAGGGTTTAGGGTGTTGTGGTTCAGGGTTTAGGCTCGTTCAATCCATGAATTCCTTGGCAGGCCCATGTCCAAAGGAATGCCTGAGAGATTTGAGCTTGAGCAGGCCGGAGCGCTTCAGGGTCCCAGTGCTTCAGTTGCAGGGCACAGGAATTGCAAAACAATAAGAACACAGAATACATACTTATCTTCCGCCCGAACACAGCCGAAGCCGAGTGCTGGAGTCCAAAAACTCTGAAGGTCAACTTAGTGCCGTGCAGGATATCTGGCGCTCATTCTGCTTTCTCTTGTAGGCGCCTGTGGCAGGTAATTCCTACCCTCAAGTTAAAATGGCGTGAAGCATCTGCGGAAGAGAATGTGGTGTGTCAAGGTTGGGGGTTCAGGAGGTGACTGTAGGGCTTTGAGCGATATTTGCTCTTGGCCTCCGGAGGGACCAAGATGATTTCGCAAACTCAGGTGCGCGACGCGCGAGGGCTTAAAGATTTTCGGGCTAGAAGCCCTGAAACTAACAGAACTCTTGAAGCTGCCGGCTGCAAGGCCCGGACGTGAGTTCAGGGGGGAAAATGCCTTGGTCCCTAAAGGCGTAGTCTTGCCACGAAACCATTCCCAAGGCTCAAACTTAACTTAAAACCGATGGTAGCCAGAATAGCCAAAGACGAAGAACAGATGACACGCTGAAACACAGGATCTGTGAAAGCTGGCACCTCTTCTGTCCGCGAGTGTGTGGCTGTGCGCGTGTGGGTCAGCGTGCGAACCGCGCTGACCTCACCAGAAGGCATGAACGTGGCGGGGGGCCTAAGTATGGGTAAACTCTACCCGGTAGAATCGACACTCAGAGCGTAAAACGACCATACACGCTTGGGCCACTAAACCCCCTTTCACATAGCACGTGGGCTTAGACTCCCAAGGCTTTGCGCCTCCCCGCCCCCCCCGGCGGGGGCGGCCCCCCCCCCCTGCCCCGCCCCCACCCCTCCGCCGTGATGCGGTTCGGGTTTAGGGTTCTCCTCCTGCCCGGGTGTGATTGGGGGGTTGGGGTTAGGGTTCATTATCTAAGTTTTTGGGTTTAAGGTTTGAGTGTTTGGGGTTTGGGGAGAGCGGTTTTCGGTTTCGGGGACGGACGGGGGGGGGGTGGGGTTGAGGGTTTAGGACTGGGTTCCAGGTTTAGGGGAGGGAACGATGGGGGGCGGAGGGGCCGGCGAACCCAGAACCGGGATCATGTATCAGGACGGAAATGTTTAACGGAAGCCGTCGGGGCCGCTCTCGACTTGGAGAAATAGTTCAGTTCTTAAATGACAACCCTTTCCACTTATCAACAACTGGCTGGTCCAGGCGGTCAGGAAAACGGTCCAGGTAGAGAGTAGTACTGAAACGCACTCAGAAGCAGGCTTCATGATCCAGGGCTGCAAAGTTTAAGGGGATTTGGGTGGAACTGCACTTTTCAGCCAAAATTGGAACGACAAAACGGAGACGCAAACGAAGAAGCCCGAACCCGAAGTCCGACGCACCAAGCCGGCAAGATCCACAAACCCTAAACCCTAAACCCTAAACCCTACCTAAACCCTATACCCTAACCCTAAACCCTAAACCCTAAACCCTAAAACTCCAGACTCCAGGGCCCATGCCACGGCCAACGAAGTGGGCGACGGCTTCTCTGTGGGCACGGGCCTCTGCATCCGAGTTCGCTTCTTGGTCTTCCTAAACCCTAAACCCTAAACCCTGAATTGCGTGGCGGTTTAGGCCCTTGGGCATTTTGAAGGGAGGAGGTTCAAAAGCTCCGTGCCATCACATGTGGGGTTTACGGCACCGGGGCTTCGGACTGAGACTACAGCGATTCCCTAGATGCTACTACTCCAAGGCACCGCTTTGTCCTAGGTGGCGACTTTTGCATCGTGTTCTCCAAAAGGACGCATCCTCCGGATTTTGCTTACTGTCTGCAGCTGTTTCCCAGGTATCCCGATATCGATGCGAAAAACACTTCAGTTTACTACTTACAACTTCCTATAACTTGCAATCTTGCAGCTCCAACGCGTGTTCGCCTGTTTACTCACTATGCTACAGATGGCAAGCGGCACCTATTTATAAGGCCCCGTCGCAGACTCAAGGAACAGTTATGGAGGCATCGTGAATGGAATCTAGCCCGAGGAACCAAAAAAATCAGGAGTTGCCCAGCTGATAGCGGAGACCGGCGGAGACCCTTCGCGCTGATAACCTCAAGCCCCGGACGCCTTTAAGTCCAGAACCGGCACTCTTCCGCAGTTTCCCAAGTGAACCCAACAAACTTCCGAACTCCACCAACAAAAGAGGGGCCCCGGGGCTGCGACAGCTCGCTCGGCGACGGCGGCCTGCCACCCTGACAGGTGGAGCAGCAGCAGGCAAAAGCACACAGCAGGATTCTATAAGTTCCTGACATCGGGCCATGAGGAAAGTGATGCAACTATCAGCTAGCAACAGCTAGCAACGCACTGACCGGATTCGCCCAAAGATCGTGCGGGATACAAGGTGCGGCCAGCTCAGGGCCGACAAGTTGGCAATTGTGTGTCGTATGCGGCGGGTGCGCCTCACCAAGAAATAACTCGACCATTGACCATCGGATTGCCCAAGTTCACGGCCCAAACACTTTGGCAGCTGTCCCGTTCCTAGGCCCTGCGGTAATCAGTTCGTACTCCGAATCTCTTAAAGTCTTGGAGGAAGGAGCTCAAAGACCGTGAATGCACTCTCCGAACCCTCAAAAAAGACACCGAGCCCGCTGCCCACTCTGAAAACAAACCTTTTTTGCCAATTGCCGGTATTTGCCAGCCACACTATCAGGGTTTAGGGTTTAGGGTTCAGGGTTTAGGGTACACCACCGGGTTGCTGGCCCTACGGCGTCCCCTTGGCACCGGCATGGGCACAGCCTGCATCAGAGAGGAGGGGGCTTCATCCGATGCAGCCGTTGAAGAAAGCTTTGCAAGATGATTCTGTAGAGGTTGGGTTCCCCCCCCCTTCTACTAACTTACCCCCTATATGAACCCCTATAAGGACTGTTAGCATACGGGGGAACATCCCAATGTAGAGGCCAAGAAGGTTCCTGGGTGTTTGGTTTGGGTGATGCTCTGTGGAAGGGAGGTGCTGACATCGACACGCAGGCGAAGGACATCAGATTAGAGGAACTTTCGGATTTTGGGCTTTGAGGCCGGAAGGTTTTCCTGGAAGCCATTGAAGGAGTTGCGGGCGCAAGCGCTTCCTAAATTCGTCTTCTCAGGGACTTATCTCTGCTATCACTTCGGTACTCAGATTCAGGGTGCAGGTTCCGCGACGTTGACCTTTGAAGTCTCCACTGCCTCCAGTTCGGACATGTCGTCCAGGACCACCCTGTGCCGACAAGAGACGATGCAATCGATTTCAAGCGATTGAAGATGTGGGGATCAAGGCCCCAACAGCATCCCCACTGGCCCTTTGGCATGCAACGCCGGACGGGATCAGTGGATGCAACGTGTCACACTCACACCAACAAGACGACTAAACAGCCGAATGGACATGCATTCTCCAGCGCTTTTCCGACATTAAGCCGGTTGAGTTTGCCTCCTTTCCAAAGGCCCAGAAATAACCCAAACTGCAGTGCACGCGGGTTAGGTGCCGGATTGGTACCATAGCGCTTGGGGCTACTGAGGAGTGCATACCTGATGGTTGTTTCATTTCATGTCGGGCACGCGATACGTTGGGAGACGACTTCATGTGAAGGCTCTTCTATATCCTTGCTCCACGGCTGCCAGTTACAAAGGATCCCTTGCGCTTCGCCCTTGTGATCCCTTGTGCATCCCGTGCGCGGGCTGGCGCGCGCGCGCGCGCGAGGTTTCGCAATTACTGGTTCGGCTCGGTAACTTTTTGGGCCCTGGAAGCTCAAATGCTCGCCTCTTGTTCGCCTTCAGAGCTTGCGCAGAGCTTGCGTTCGCCCTTGCGCGAGCATGTCGTGCATTTACTAAGCTACGAAGAACTCGGACCGAGTATTCCTCTCTGAGGTTTCATAAGGCTTATCTTGCTTTCTCTGGCTTTTGCGCAAAGTTGAAGCCAGCGACGCGGCCTGTCAGACTTCTCGGTCACACTCTTGTCCTCGGGGAGGAGGGTTTTATAGCAAAGCTAGGCGACGAAGGCTACAGTGAAAACCTTGGGGCTTACGGGTTTCAAAGCGGCACAGCTACATCTCAGCTGGATCACCCCTTCCTCAGATAGCTTCGGAACCAAGGGTGTCTGTATGATTTCGTTCAAACATCGCAGACCTGCGGTCCTCTGGGCAGTAAGTGCCGGGATCTCATTAGGGCTGGTTCCGTTTTGAGAACCCAGACGCTTCACTGATTCACCCTTGCTAAGTATCGCTACTAATTATTTAAGAACCCCCAAAAAAAACAAAAAAGAATCCTCCCTATAAGGGCCAAGGGCAATGTAGGGATTTCCATGTTCTATTTTATGGGGGGGTTTCTTAAGCAAACAGCAGTCCAACTAAGGAGAAACTGCGGGCGCGTTCAAGGGGACCTGGATGCAGCGCCCACTTTGCGGCACCCTGCCCAACATCCGGAGTCACCAAAACTTCAAAAGCCCCAACGATGCTGGAACCTGACTCAGAACCTCCAAGAAATCCCAAAGCTGGAAGCCCCAGAGTCCCAGGCTGTCGGCACAGGAAGCTCTGTGGGCGTTGGCTCTTCTGGGGGAGCCTTGCAGGAAGCCGTGCTGCAAAAAAGGATATCCTGCTTAGTCGGGGTTTTGGCTTGCTTACTTGTAACTTTCAAGTCGTTTCATCAAAATGACTTTGTAAATTTGTTTTGTTCTTCGAAACGGCCTGACACTCAGAGGGGTGGTCAAAGACCTTGCTTAGTTGCAACTTGCTTTTCTGCGTCTTCTCACCAAGTACCCTAAACCCTAAACCCTAAACACTAAACCCTATGTTCAGGCCACCCAACATGTCTTCTCACCATGTCACCTTTTAAAGCTTGGGGCTTGCCACCCTTATTTAGGGCTGCCCAGCATCTCGTCATTTAGTTCTATCTCTAGGGTCCAATAGTAAGGGCTCTTGGGCAGTTAAGGTGTCATGAGATTGATGGTGTACGAAAGGAAAAGTAAAGGTTGACCGCTCTCTCCCTGTCACTTAATATCTTCACTCTTGGCTCCCTATTTTCCATGCAGTTAACGTACTAAAAGCCCCTTTAAAGTAGTAAATTGTAAGTTCACGCACGAATTTACTATTTTAATGGAGCTTTTCTCCCTTTTCCCCCTTTGATGCTGTAGGTAAAAGCCCCATTATAATATAAGTCTTTTAGAGGGGCTTTTAACACAGCATGAAAGGGCCCTTAATTAATATATTACGAGCGTCATAATGGTCTTTTCGCCCTTATACGCCCGTACTATATTGTTAAGGGGGAAAAGGACACAATATTATTACTATCCACCCGGGCAATATTAAGGACAAGTGAACGCCCGGGATATAGAATGAATGCTGTAATAATATTAAGATCTCCACTAAATATAGTTCATTCACTACTTTCATTCCATTTAATTCGTATTTCTTTCCTAAGTTTTCATAGTTTTATTAATAAAAGCGAAGTAATGAGCGCCCGTATTATAATTATGTTCATTTCGTACATTCTTTTTATCTCTTCGTAATAAATCCAGATAATAGAGTAAAAAATAGTAAAAAGACCATAATTACCGAAATAATATTCTCTCCCTTTTATTCATATCTTTGTTCTCTTCACTCACGATAAAATCCTTATCATAATGACTCATGCGTTTGGTAAGTTCTCTATTTAATATTTATAATCTTCATACACCCTGATAAGACGAATTTTATTGTCATTAAAGTTTTCTCGCTTCTTATAATTTGGATTTCATATTCAATTAAAAATTAAAAGGAAAACTAAAGATTTTCAATTATAAAATTACAAGTTTAGAAATTCCTAATAATAAGTGATTACAATTGAAATAAATGTGTTTTTCTTTTTACTTTCGTTTATTTCGTTTATAATTTTATTGCGTTCTTCTCATTCATTAGGATACTAAATAATCATATGAACAAAGGGGAGAAAAAGGATAACAAGGAAAAATAATTCTTGATTTCATTTTTAATTCTCTAATTTCCTTATCTTTTCGTACTTCTATTTCATTCTAGTTCCAATCATTCAGTAGTTATATTATTACAAGCCTGTTAACGGGCCCATTTAATATGTCTTGTAAAGGCCCGTAATACTATAATAAACCTTTAGGACAACTATAATACTGTAACCATCGGGAAGCCCTGATGTGCTTTGGAAGCAAGGGTGCCTTCTAACGCTCAACTAGATGTTGCACTGCTACACCCTTTACCCCGTCTCGCACTGGGGTCCCACGCCGACTCCATGAGAGGGGCGGATGCAACCTATGCATCAGGCTACGGGCTTACCAGCATGGGCTACTAGGCCTTATAATCCCCCTAACCAACCCTATAAAGGGCCGTTTTAAGGGGTTCCATGCAGGTAGGAATGTTCAGCAGGGTTGCCAGGTAGATGGCGACTTAAGGGTTGAAGCCCTTGGGTCCAATGTCAGGGCATAAATGGCGTTTATGGCTTTACAGCCACCTAACGACCCTAACGACTGTCGGCATGGTTCAGAAGTGGTTTCGATACATTGTATACATACATATATAGATATATATATATATATATGTGTATATTTCTGTATTTACGTATTTATATATCTATATATTCTTCCCATATCTTCCCTTTCCGCCTCCTCCTGCTCACCGGGCTCCTGCAAGGACGTCGGGGACGGCCGACGCGTGGGGACCGGCACGTCTGCAGGGGACGTCCTGGGAGCTTCGGGGTTTGGGGTGGTTTGGGGTTTAGGGTTTAGGGTTTAGGGTTTAGGGTTTAGGGTTTAGGGTTTAGGGTTTAGGGTTTAGGGTTTAGAGTTTAGAGTTTAGAGGGGTGGGGGGGGGGGGGCGGTTCTTAGCTGCCTCTTCTTGGGATGTTCCCCCCTTTTCCTAACAATCCTTAATAAGGATTATAATGAGGGGGTACCCTAATCAGTCGTTTCGAAAAAGGTTCAGCAGAGCTTAAGGGTTTTGAGGTTTCGGTGGATTCGGATGACTTTGAGGGATGTTTTCTGCTCCTTGGGATGTCCCAGGAGGCGATCGTTGTGGGGGTTTAGCCTGAGTCCTGGGATGCCCGGATTCGTGGCCCCGTCACGTTGTTTAAGCACAACCCCCGATTGGATGAACAAGGGCCGGACATACAATGGCGCACCTCAAACCCCAACCCCCTGTAGAATCTACCAGGCCCCGTACCACACAAAGGCCACCATCTAAACCCCTATATAACCCCCGACCCCTGACCCCTAAACCCTAAACCCTAAACCTCCCGAAGCCGTCTGAAGGGAAAAGCCTCCGAAAGGGGGTTCTTTCGAGGGATGTCTCAAAGCCCCCGGCTCAGGCACTGCCGGTGCTGGGCCGGGCTCTGGAACCTGCGCACCATTAGGGTTTAGAGGGTTCAGGGTTCAGGGTTCAGGGTTGAGGGTTTAGGGTTCAGGGTTTAGGGTTTAGGGTTTAGGGCGGCATCAGGACAAACTTCAGGGCCGTCGGGGCGTGAACTTGAGGGCAGAGGTGTTTTGAAGGCTACTTTGCGAGAAGCATCCTGCGTTCGTTGAAGTCTCAGACGCAGCGTGCGCGTGGGTTGGGCAAGTACAAGCTGCCCACGAGACATTTTGGGCAGTGTTTGGGCCTAGAGGTTTCGTGTAGATGGCAAGAGGGAGACACGCACAGGAAATGAAAACCCTGAAGCAGAAATAAATAAATAAATACCTGAATAAACAACTATATATATATATACACAGACATATGTCAGGAAAGCAGGGTCTCGAATATGAATGACAATGAAACTAGTGCTGGCCTTCATCTTATTTCTTCGATTTGGATAGGTGTGGCCTGATTTCAGTGGCCATTACCGCCACAGCACATCCAAGAACCTGCACGTATGAGACTCCTGAACCCTCTTTACTTTCACAAGGAGCGCACTCTGTTGGAGGAACCTTGCTTTGGTCACAGGGCACATTGATCGACCGGCCCGCCCGTGTCAATTCTCCCTTTGCATTTCATGGACGAGCAAGGGAAGTAAAGAGGCCGGAAATGCCTGAACTACTTGGTCCCAGCCCGCTTGGCACCCCATCATCTACGCGACATTTGCTTAGGATTCGGGGAAGTAAAGGTTTAGACTAGTAAGGTTTAGGAAAAGCCTTATGCCGACCAGGGTCCGGCATGTGAGATGCGCCTGTCTAGCGGTACGCCAACAAGTTTGGATTTCGAGTAGCTCGTCGACCAGTTCCGAACATCTGTGCGAGGCAGGGTTGGCAAACAAGAGAACAGCTCAGCTCGATGAGTCGTTCAAATCAGGGCAAGGTGTACAGCATGTTGGCCTGCTTGCGCTCCAAATCGCTAGCCCCATTGAAATCATGCGGAAGTTTTTTGGTGAGCGTGTGTGGCGCCCATATACGTGTACTTAAAAATACTGCCTTAGCGGTGTGGGTTGCCTCTATCGCGGCAACTCCCTCCACAGGCGAAGTGACCTGGCAGTGGGACAGCTTTAGTGTAGTCGTTTGGGTCGAAGGGAAGGTCGAAGGGAAGACCCTCCTAGACCCCAAAGCCTAAAGAGCGTAAAGTGATAACCATCAAGGCCATCAAGGCACGAGCCCGGAACACCCCTGCATACTTCTTTTTGCAGCTCCGACCTGAGACTGGGCTGCCACGGGCCGCCATCTCTACCCCCACCCTAAACCCTAAACCCTAAACCCTATTTCATAGCACAAAAAATACAGGGTCGCAGCCCTCCCCCTCTCTGTAGGCTCTCGTCCTGCCTTCCCTTGTATGTAGATCGAAGATTGCTTGGCTCGGGGCCGGAGGACTTGCAACTCAAAACCCGAGTCTGGGACCGTCTTAAGTACGTGGTGGCAGGCTGCTGGGTTTTCTGCGATTTCGTAGTAGAACTGTTGTCAGCGTTTTGGCATCTTACGGGCCCTACCTGCCGTAGCTCAAGCACCACTACCGACCGCCAAGACACCAAACTTCTCTACCCTGAACACTAAACCCAAAATTCGAACCCTAAACCCTAAACCCTAAACCTTTTGCCAACAAACCCGACCCCGACTCCTGCAGCACCAACCCGCCAGGCCGGCCACGGGTGAGTGCACTGCTGAGACTCCCAGTTCTGCCGAAACGCACGGTTGAAGGGCGGCCAGGTTTAGGGTTTAGGGTTTAGGGTTTAGGGTTTAGGATTTAGGGTTTAGGGTTTACGGTTTAGGGTTAAGGGCTAAGGGGTTTAGGGGTTGAGGGGTTTAGGGTTTAGGGAAGAGGTTCGGAAGGGGCAAGCTCGATGGTTTAAGGCCACACCGTTTGCCCATACTGCTCCTCGGTCTGCAGGTTACATGTCATGATGGAGCACATGACATACCAAGATTCGCCTCTAGATACTTGTTTGGGAATCTTTGATCCTTGGTTCTTGGTTCCCCGGGCCCGTTCTTCATGAAAAGGCGCCGTGCTGATAACACAGGCCCAAGTCAAGTCTGGGAACCCAGATTCGCCCAAAGCTTTCCGGCAATATTGCCATCGCAATCTATATTTATATTTGCAGGCGCCGAGAGGAACTAGAAGGCTTCAAGTAAGAAGACCTGAGAATTCAGCGTGTGACTTCGGGCCACGAACCTTAAATTCGCCAAGAGCCGAATTTCTCTGGGCATTACAAGCAGGCTGCAGTCTAGCATCCGGAGTGCATGTCCCCAGAGCATCCAGGCCCGAAAGATGTTTGCGCCCATGCTACCAGTGCATCCACGAACGGCGCACATGTGTAGCGGATTGAGAACTACGGCTTCGGCCCCCGAGCTGTCAATCCATGCACTCATGAGGCTCGGCATAAAGCCGTGGAAGGCTTGAGGCACCCAAGAATATTTTATGGGCGTCTAGCCTTTACCCACATACTTTGACAACGATTGAGCTACCGGGAGGGGCCATCTTAAAGGCTAGGGCTTTCCGAGAACTCATCAACTCATGTACATATTAGACATGATAGCAGCCTTCTAGAAGGCATGGACCTCCTGGACTCAAGCCCGCACAGTTGCGCAGAAGGTATGGCGCATCTCAGGGTTCGGGAACCTAGGGAGCCTACACCACCTCTACCCTCCAGCTTCCTGGTGGCTCATGGGCGAAGGTGGCATTCGGCAGGGGCCCCACTATTGCCTGTGCACGGCAGAGGATGTCATGGGCAGGCGGCTAGTGGCTATTTCTTCTTCACCTGCATCGGGTCCTTGAGTGTTAATCCAGGCTGAGCCCTAAACCCTAAACCCTACATCCTAAACCCTAAACCCTAAACCCTAACCCCTAATCCCTGAGGCCAGGACCAGGTTCAGGATGCAACTCTTCAGAGGTCGAATCCTGAAATGAAAACCCCGTGGCCCTACAAGCTTCTCCAGTGCCGGAGTTCAAAGCTTTGCGCTTCAGCATCTCCTCCCCGGAGCCCAGGGCATGTGAGAAGTCATCCTATGGATGCTGAACACAGCCAACCCTTTTTTGGTCGCGAAGCTTGATCTTAGAGAACTCCCCATTTCCCATTTTCAGTTGGGAGGATTGAGAAATCGCCTAGGATTTTCCGCAAAAAGGGCCAAGCAGCTAGTAGACACCTGCCCCAGACAGTCATATGCAGCAGGCAGTGAATATGCGAGCTGGTCGCATCACGCGGACCTTGCTCCATAACAAAAACACACAAAAAAAGACCCCACTCGTTCATCCGAACGTTTCAAGCATTCAAAAACACGCCGAAAGCATCATGAACTTAATTAAAAGCTAAACCAAACCCACGAACCGCAAAACATATCCAAAGCCCTCGGTCTGCTAGTACAATAACACGCAGCTTGAACCCTATAATTAATTGAGTCGCTTGGATTGCAACCACAACCACAATGAGTTGCGCTCTGGGAATCCCTAAACCCTATAAGCCCTAAACCCACCTCTTCATCGTCTGCCCCAGGACTCATGGATGTCGGGGATGGCCTTGCGCAGCAGCGCTTCGCTTGACAGGCTTGACATGTTTTGACCCGCAGACTTAAGCTGAGTGAGTCTGACTGCTTGACGGCCAGGAAATACCCGAAACCTCCATCACTTAGGGAGTGCAAGTGCGCCATGGCGTGATGCAAACCAAAATTTTCCGAAGCCCAGCCAAAAACCCTGAGCTCTGAAGCAACCCAAGATCAATGAGGCCACCTCGCAGTGGGGACCGGCAAGTCCACGGGAGAGGACCTGACTGTATTTGTTGGTTTCAGTGACGTACGTAATGAGGGTTTAGGGTTCAGGGTTTAAGGTTTAGGGTTTAGGGGGACTAAGGCTTCGCCAGGCCTGACGGTTCCCGACTTGGCAAGCCCCAGCTTGTCGGACTATGCCGCATAAATCACGGAAATGGCCACCACTACCGCGCAGTAAGGTGGGTCCCAAAACCTGCGCAAGGTCCCGTTTTTGGACTATGGTTTTGTGGTGCTGCCTTCTGTCGAAGGTCTGTCGCGCCTGGTGCTTCCAGGGCCGAAGGCACCGGCCACCAAGCCTGACGCACGGCCTCCAGGTTTGACCCTCGCGAAAGTCCACAACCACCCTCGCAGAGGCGGAGGGGGGGGGGGGCATGACTGCAGCTTGGTGCAGTGGCTCAGGAATTGACCTGACAGAAGTACCTGCCCAGTCACTTTGGATTTGGTTCCGGATTTCATCCGAGGCAGATGTCGAAAATGGGTACTGTACATCCCAACCAGGAAGCCTTCTTGCAAAGTGATTCTTTGCATTCCCGGCCCTGTTGTGGGAATTAGTACACCCAAGTCCCTGCCAGCGATTGAGGCGCAAGTCTGTTGCCAGGGAGGCGTTTCTGTCCCCAATGGCACCTGATCGAGTCTAAAGACCTTGAGTCTTTCAGCTCGGATCCAGCTTGGACTGAGGAAATCGCCCGAATAGATGAACAACTCGGTGCCGTGGGATCTTCTGGGTGGGCCCAGAAGTGTGCCTCGCCTGAATGCGTGTTCACTGAGTCCCGAGATAACTCAGTGAGCATGCTGAGTGCCCGTTGCAGTGGGATGCGAAGGCACAGAGCAAATGGCAAAATATCAGATCCTCTGATCCTGCGCTGAGGTTCCAGTTGTGGACCTTGAAGCCAAGATGGCCACGCCACGTTGGCATGATCTTGCTGACAGAGGCCATAGGCCTTGCTAGTTCCGCAAGCTTCACTGCAAGAATCCATTCAATGCACCCCCGTTTGAGGTCGCCCCCCCTATCCCGCTGAGCGTACTTCACACCTCAGTGTCAGGCTCACGCTGTAACACCCTGTGCTCGGGTTTATGGGCACATCAAACCTGAACTGGTTGAGGTTCTGGGCAAATCCAGAAAGGCCCTGAACCCTAAACCCTACACCCTAAACCCTAAACCCTAAACCCTATATCCAGAAAGGCCCTGAACCCACCCTCCGAGCCTTCTGAGCCTTCAGATGCTCCGAGCCCCAGGCAGGACGATGGAGGTTGCAGGTCGGGAGATGGCAGTGAGGGTGTGGACCTCCGACGAGATTCCAGGGTTTAGGGTGTAGGGTTTAGGGTTTGGGGTTTAGGGTTTAGGGTACAGTCAGGCTCTTATTAAATGCAAGTGACCGAAATCCCGCAACCCAAGCGCTCTCGCACCACTGCATCCCCACCGCCGAACTTCACCCGAAAATCCCGAACCTTCCAGGTTGAGCGAAACCAAGCTTCGTGACTGACTACTCCCGAAGAGCTGAACTCCGAATGAAGCTGTCCAACCTCTGCTGTCAGTGGGGCGGTGATCGTTTCTCCTGCAGCAAGGTCCAAGAAATCTACAATCCCCCCTGCTGCTCACAAAACTTCGACTTCCGTTCCGGATTACTGGAGGGGACTTAACAATGACAGAGTCACCTCTCGGACACCGTGATGAGCCTACAGGGGGGGGGGGGCCTGCTCAGTGCCTACTCCCCCTGAAAGTCTCAGCCGGTTTGGGGCGAAGTCCAGTTTTCCCAGCGAGTGGTCTTTACTAGCTGGTGAACAGTTTACTCAGAAAGCTCAGCGAGCTATCACAACTACGAAAGTCTCGGGCTTTGGCTGGGCCCTCGCGAATTTGGGACAGGCGCCCTCCTGATCTATGATGTGTGCGATGTGCATTGACAAACATGAGCCTACACTGATAGGCAACAAAACCGGGATGCCTCACTCAGCACAAACTCAGCCCCAAACCAAATGAGGCCCGAATGCTCTACTCACCCTTCGGTTGAGGATGGGCTGCTAAACATTGCTGTGGCCCCGAATATAGGGGCCTTAGGAATTCAGGATTTTGGGGGGGGGGGGGGGGGTAATCTAGGGACCCTAAGGGAATACCATCCGCAACTCTTCCGACCCCGATAGTACAAGCTGGATCTTGGCCTTCGTCTTCACAGGGCGTCGTCGGGGAAGGCACGTCGGTGGGCACTGGCATCTCCGTTGGAGACTGCTCCTGTCCTGGGCGTAATATAGGGGCCTTGTATCGTTAGAATAGGGTTTGGGGGGGTATTATAGTATAAACATAAAGGGACCACAAGGGAATACTACTCGCAAATCTTCCGACCTCTACATTACGCTGCGAGGGCTTAGGTCAGGGTCGAGGTGTTCCAGCCCCGCAAAATATGGGAGTTTACGAAAATAGAGGGGAGCCCCAAGAATACAGCCCCCCAATATAGTAGGATTCCCTGATAATAAGGACCCCAAAAAGCTACCTCCTAATATCGGAAACCCCAATAGGATCACTTGAAGCTAAATTCCACAGTTGCACAGGCTTCCTCTTTTGTGCCCAGACCAACACCTTGTCAGCAAGATAAGCAGTACGAGGCTAACGAGCAGACAGGCCGTTGAGGCAACCGCCACGACACATGAAAGTTTGCGAAAATGGGGAACCCCAACTTAGTCCCCAAAAAGTAGGATTCCCTTATGATAAGGACCCCAAGAAGGCATCCCCCACAGTCGGAGCCCCCTGCCGGAAGGGTGGGGGTTCTTTTTGGGTGTTTTTTTGATTTTTTTTTTTTTTTGTGCTTTTTTGGGGGTTTTAAACCCTAAACCCTAAACCCTACACCCTAAACCCTAAACCCTAAAACCCTAAACCCAAAACCCCTAAAATCCTAAAACCCCAAAATCCAAAACCCAAACCCTAAACACTAACCCAACACCCAAAAACCCCAATCCCAGAAAACCCTAGACCCTAAACCCTTAAACCCTTAGACCCTTAACCCCTAAAACCCTGAAATCCTAAAACCCTAAAACCTAAACACTAACCCCAATCCCAAAAACATACCCAAACAAATCCCAAGAAAAAATCACAAGAAAAGAAACCTGGCTCCCTGCCGGAAGCAGCTGCTGAGCTGACCAGCGCCTCAGCCGACCCAGGCGTTCCCTCTCCCCCAGCCGTGACACGCTGCTACTCCAGGCGTGAGCCCTAGCTGACCTCCTTGTCCCTGCTAGGGTTTAGGGTTTAGGATTTAGGGTTTAGGGTTTAGGGTCATGCGAAGTTCGTTCACACATAGCTAACATCACATTGCTACTACAAGCCTATGAAGACACTCTTCAATTACACATACTTGAGCAGCACGAACATGCGATAAACATAAACACCTGTAGCACCAGGTAAAAAGCATACATCAACAACATGCTACTCATACGCAGGTGCTATGGTACCTTTTAACCTCAGTAGCGGAATCCGCGGGCGGGGGGGGGGGGGGGTTGGGAAGGATGGGGGTTCGTCCAAACACCTACTGAGGGCTCCAAATCCGTTCGCTTGAGCCCTAAAACCTAAACCCTATACCCTAAACCCTAAACCCCTGCTCTAAAGGATCGGTATGCTTGTGATCGCATGATGAACCTCTGCTGTCGCATATGAGGGGGGGTTTACGATATTCGGGGGTACCTTATTCCAGCATTGGCTATTCTACCCCATGAGCCCTTAAAGGCCCTTTATAGGGTTGACTATGGGGATAATAGAGCCTAATGGCCCATCCTTATTTTGGTCCTTGTGATAAGGGAATCTTGCTATTTGGTGGTCTATGTTGGGGATCCCTTCTTTTCGTAAACCGCCATATCCGACACGATTACGACTCTCACTTCCTTCAGGTCGATCTTGGAGGGAGTCCTATGAGGAAATCCAAGGCTAAGATAGCCGGAAATATCATGAAAATTAGGACCCAAGTTTGCTGTCAGGATTCACTGTTCAAAGTGCCGCATGGATGACTGCTAGACTTGAAGGTTCACTAGAAGCCCTGTAGACTAGGTTGCAAGCAGGGCAGCGTAGGAGTTGATCATCTACCCTAAGCCCTAAATCCTAACTAAACCGTATGCCCCAAGAAATCCCAAGCCGAGGGGCACCAGAGGACCCAAGCATCGCCGAATCCAGCGCCTTTTTAGGGCTTAGGGTTTGGGGTTTGGGGTTTAGGCTTTAGGGTTTAGGGCTTCGATTGCAAGGCTTGTCGCTTGGCATGTTCCCCCTTATACTAACCGTCCTTCATCGGGATGACAACTGGGGGGTACAAAAATCCCTGGTAAGGCCTGTTAGAAAAAGGGGACGCCAATCCCAACATGCGAACCAACAGGCAGGACAAAGAACTCTTGATTTTCAAGGCGTCCTGTTATCAAACAAAAGCTCGGAGCCCTAAGGCCTAAGGCCCAAACTGGATTGTCATTTTTTGACTGCGAACTTGTCGGGCTTACCAACTACAAATGTCTCCCTTGGGTTTCCAGGCACCCAGAATCTTTTCGAACAAGTTGTTATCTCAGGCCGAATTCCGCTGAGGTAGCAATTCTGCCAGAAGCATCTTCTGCAAGACGACCTTCTAGTTTGAGTATGTGCTTGCAAGTTTCACCCTAAATCAACCGGGCTGCATGCTTTCGACAGCCTTCTTGCGAGACTAAAGACATGAGGGAGCCTAGCCCTAAACCCTAAACCCTAAACCCTAAACCCTAAACCCTAAACCCTAAACCCCAAAACGCATGATCCACCGAGTCCTGCAACACTACTCCACACGTCTGACCGATGTGCACTCGGCCAGCCTCCAAATCTTCGGTGCTAAATCTTAGGTTTAGGGTTTAGGGTTTAGGGTTTAGGGCTTAGGGTTTAGGGCTAAAGCTTTCTAGTGTGTGTTGACAAACATCACCAGTGTACTGGGCCCACAGCAACAATCGGGACTGCCGGCCGCGGGCGGACCTGCTGACAAGGGCAGATGAACGGAAACATCATTTCAAGTGTCACCGTGGCCTGAATTGTGTTTGGGGTACAATAGGGGCCTGAATGATTAGGACAGTGTTTTGGAGGGTTGTTCTAGAAAAAACACACAAAATAATATTAATAAATAATCCGACCCCTATATTATGTGTCCAGGCCTGGGGTCTCCTGAGCCCGAAGCGTAGTCGCGTGCAGTTTCAGTGTGAATTTAGGGTTTAGGGTTTAGGGTTTAGGGTTTAGGGTTTAGGGTTTAGTATTTCAAAGCTACTTGGACACTCGCCAGGTTTACAGCGGTAGGGGGACGAATAACGGGTTCCATGTCCGTCTGGGAACTTGTTGGCGCGGTCAAACAGGCCAAAGCCCCCGGCATCTTTTGTTGTAGCGTAGAGGCAAGCAACCCTAAACCCTAAACCCCCCAAACCCAACCCTAAACCCTAAACCCTAAACCCTAAACCCTAAACCCTAAACCCTAAACCCTAAACCCTAAACCCTAAACCCTCAGGACCTCAGAACTCAGCTGTGCAGCCCCAAGCGCCCTGAACATCTCATCAAACATCTGCAAGTCGAACCCTGGTCGTGCCTATCTGCTGCTACCATGGCCTATCTCAGTCCAAAGGTTCGGAGTTTGGAGGCAATGGCTTCAGCAGGTTGTGAACCGATGGTCTTGGGCAGCAGCCAAGGCATTGCGGGCCCTAAACAAACCCAAACCTCAACAAAACCTCAGACTTCAGACCCCCGCCGGTGGCTCCGTTGGTGATGGCCGTTCCGTGGGCACCGGTAGCTCGCTCGGCGACTGCGTAGCGGCCTCTCTATTCCCAGACTGAAGGAGTTGACAGCTGTATATATGGTTTCGACATATCTTCAACACGGCATGCCTTTGAAGGTGGCGCAGCGTGTTGAAGTTTACACCTCTATGGTGAGACTTCCAGCATTTGATTACCCGCTCGAGGCCCTGTGCTGCACGGGAACTACTTGCAGGTTTCAGATGCAGCAAAAGCCTCG